GCAGTGCCCCCCGCCTGCACCCACGTTCCTGCTGATGAGTGCGTGTCAGGCTGGGCCTGCTTGCTGGTGGAGCGGAAGGCTGTGAAGAACCTGCAGTTTGTGTCAACTTATGATTCCTGCCTGGGCAGCAGGACCTGGGGTCTCTGGCTGTGAACTGCCTCTCTGTGGCCTTGAGGGTCACCTCCCCTAAGCCTCAGTTTCCGCAGGGAGCTGGTGGGCATGATGAGCCCTGTCCACCCTGCCTGCCAGTCAGGAATGGACACCTCTACTCATGCAGAAGGGCTCCTTGTGCTGGGAGGAGCATGGGTGTATTTCACCCACAGACCTGGGGGCTCCACCCGGGTGGGGTCAGCTGGCCTCCATTGCGTGGCCCCTCCCCTGCCCCCGCCCCCAGCCTGGTTGTTTGCAGGATTCGAGGGCTGCTGGTAAAGGGGTGTGGACTCCCGGGCCGGGCAGAGGCCTGGTGGGCCGGGCCCTTTGCGGTGAGCCATGCGGCTCCCTGGCAGGCAGGGAGGGTGGGTTGCGGGCCCCTCACGGGCTGCCGTCAGCGGGGCCGTCTGCTCAATGTGCTGGGGAAGGTAAATGGGCACCCGGCAGCTGTCAGGGCGATGGATGTGTCGGCGTTGGGGACCGAGGTGGCTGCCGTCAGCTGGCGCCCGCTCCCCAGGCCTGCTGGGCTCACTTCGCCGTGGAGAAGCAGCTCGGTGCTGCCTGGTACCCTGCCAGCTGCTGCCACCACCGGCTCTGCGAAGTGTTTATCCAGCAGTTTCCTGAGAACTGGGGACTTAGAGTGTTCATGGAGCTGAGGACATCGTGGCCTGGAGGGCTGACGCACCTGGTGGCTCAGGAGGCTGCGTGTCAGTCCTGGGGCACAGAGAGCCCAGCAGCCGGCCCTGGGGGCCCATCCAGTCCTGCCCATGGCACGAGCTCCCGGCCCCCGTGTCTTCGTGGGTGCTGCCTTGGGGGCCTGACTCTGTGGCTGGGGCGCGTGTGTGAGGCGAGGAGAGGGTGGGCTGTTGCCTGTGTCTGTTCTTGTGGCCCCCGTGGTGTGGGTTGGGGGAGGCCAGGCGGGAACAGCTTCCTCTCAGAACCCTGGCATTTGGTCCAGGAGAGCTGCTGGGGAGGAACCCCCTTTCCTTGGGGATGCTTCAGTCCCTTTGTGGGGATGAGCGGGGTTGGGGATGGAAGTTTGCTCCTGCCAGAGGGCCACCCAGGACATAGGGACCAGGGCTGGGGCTGTGGGACCCAGGAGGTGCAGGAGGAGTCGGGGGAGCCTGGGCTCCATTGTTGCCCCCAGGCAGGGACAGGAGTCTGGCCTAACCCCACTGAGGGCAGCCCCCTTCCACGCCTAGAGCCCTGGGCCATGGGTGTATGGCTGGCGGGAGGGTTATGGCTTTCAGTCGGGCACAGGAGCGCCTTCCCTGTGGCTTCACAGGACCTGGTCTTGGAGGGGGAGGGCAGTGCCACAGGGTTAAAGGTCAGGGTGGCTCCCACCTGACCTAGGGCTGGCCTTGAGAGAACCCTGTAGGTGGGCCTGGAGCTGTTGCTTCCCCCACCCCAGGGGCCAGCAGTGGGGCAGGAGGGTGGGACTGGTTCTCACTGCCGTCCTCCACTCACCCCCCTCATGACTTCTGGACGGGGACCCCTACCTGGCCTTGCTGGCATTCCTGAAGGAGCACTGAGCCCTCTTTGCTGCCAGGATCAGACCTGAGGCCCAGGCCAGGGCTGCGCTGGGACCCTAGGTTCCAGGTCTGAAGCATGTGCAGTGGTTGGGGACTTGGGGGTTCCTGTGCCAAGCCCTGGGGTGTGAGAGTTGGGGGCTGAAGACACCCCTGGGCCTGGATGCCAGGCATCTCCACTGCCCTGGGAGTGGCTCCTGGTGGGGAATGGGTCTGGCTGTGTGTGGGCGTTGCCTGCCTGTACCCATCTGGAGTGAGGACCTGGCGTGGCACCCTGGGGGTCTGTGCCTACTCTGTGCTTGGTGCCCTCGGCTTTGCAGGCAGGTGGGTGGGGTGGGAGGGATGCCAGTGCTGCCTCTACACCTCTCCAAGCGGCCTCTACTCCTGCCTCGAACGGGGGGCACCTGAGGACCACCACAGGGTGGGGAACCCCAGAAAGGCCTGGACAGGTTCCCGCAGCCCTGGAGAGTGAAGGAGAGGACTCCATGTGTCTGTGCTCCCACCCTCCTGAGGGACCCTTAGTAGGTCGCTGCCGGCCTGCGGGCGCCCCGTGACTATGACGGTGGTGCAGGCTCCTCCACTTGCGCCGTCCTGGGGCACCCCAGTCCTGGAGCTGGGAGTAGTGGGGCCCTGGGGAGCCTGTTGTCGGGGCTGGCTGCCTACCCAGCATCCTGTCTGGGCTGAACTCTTTAAGATGCAAGCCACGGCCCAGGCCGCAGCTGGCACCCTCACAAGTGATTGCCTGGCTGGCCCTGTGGGCGGGAGATGAAGAAAGAGACCCGTGTGTCTCTGGAGCCCCTATCCTAGGTCCCTGGGGATCCTGTTCCTCCACTGGTGGGGTCTGTGTGCTCGCCGGGGGCTGGGCTGCTGAAGGCGAAGGCCGAGGGAGGCTCCTTCACTCACACCTGGGCCCACCCTGATTCCTGTCTGTTCCCTGGGTCAGTGGGGCCAGGCGAGGGGAAGGCACTGAAAGCCCAGGGTTCAGCTGGGTCTCTGCCCACCCCAGGTCTCCCCAGGACTACTCCGGGCTGGGTACCTGCTCTCTCCCAGCCCCCACGCCTGACGAGTGCCCATCCTGGCCTGCCCCTCCCTCACCCCCCATCTAGCTCCCACAGCCTGGGGCTGGGCACGTGGATTTTGAACACGGGTACAGCGAGGGGCCGTGCTGGGCACGGTGGGGGCCTGCAGCAGTTGGTGGATCAAGATGGGTTTCCGGGGTGCTGGGCCTGGGTGCTCATCAGTCTTCCTGCTCAGTTAGCGTCCTGGGGAGTGGCAGCTGGCAGGATGGGAGGCACTCCATCAGGGGCCGACAGCTCCAGACTGCCGCGCAGGCGGGTGGGCGAGAGCGGCGGGGTGGCCCTGGATGGGGACGGGTGGGGTGGGCCGTGTGCGGCCCCCTGAGCCTGCTCTGCTCTTGCTGAGAGCCCCCCGCCTGCCTGCTGCCCCTACAGAGCCCTGTGGCTGGGGGAGGGGACCTGGGAGGCGGGGTAGAGCTGTGTGGCACGTATGTTCGTGTGTGTGCACACTCGGGAGTGGGCGGCCAGCCCCGACTACAGGTGCCCCAGGGCCCCACTACTCCCGGCTCCAGGACTGGGGTGACACAGGACGGCACAAGTGGAGGAGCCAGCACCACTGTCCTCATGGCTAGGGGCAGGAGCCGGTACCCAAGGGTGGCAAGACCACGCCTGCCCGGCAGCCCACCGGCAGGGGCATGGAGGGCAGCAGAGTGGGTGAGTGGGCCCCCTGGTGAGTGCTCCCGGGCTCGGGGGCAGGTTCTGAGCTCTGGACCCTTCTCCCTGCGACGGCACGTGTCATCCTCTGGAGGTGTCAGGCTGTCATGGGTGGGCTCTGACTATCCCCTCCTGGGTCCACCCCAGAGCTGACAACAGCTTCTCCCCACACTCAAGCCCTGCTAGGTGGGGTGTCCCCCCTGCCACCAGCATCCCCCCAGTGGCCCTGGCTCTGGCAGAGCAAGGACTGGTCCTGTGGAGGCCATGCCCTGTGGTGCTGGCGGGAGGGGCATCGGGCAGCCGGGGCTGGGGAGGAGGAAGAGGTCACCTGGCCTGGGATGGCCATTTGAGAAGCCCTGGTGGCTCACCTCTTAGAGTGAAGAAATTGCCTGTGGCTCCCCGGAAGAGAGAATGCCTTGCCTGCAGGGATGACCCGTGTCCTCTGAGTCCCCTGGGGCCATTGCCGTGCTGGGACTTGCCCTGTGCACCAGGGAGGGCTGGGCGCGTCTGCACTCACCGTGTGGACTGAGCAGAATTGGGGGGTGGTTGGTCTGGTGATGACAATTGCTTATCCCCCACATCCCTCCAGGTATCCTTGTCTGGGCTCAGTTGATAGGAAAACCCAGGCCCCAGAGCTCAGGGACCCCAACCCCTTACCCCGCCCAGCGGCCTCTCCCATGAGGCAGTTGTCTCATTAGTAAGTTCCCCGTTGTTCAAACTCCTTGCTTGGCAAAATGTAAGTGGAACATTTTTTTCCAAGTGTCAGTATGAAAAATGGTCGTTGCTGGGCTATCGCTGGGGACAGCTGCTCTGATTCCGAAGTGTGAACGCCTGCGTGTGGCTGAGGCTGCAAAACTTGAGACAAAACGTTCCCGTGCACCTGGGTGACCCACGGCTGGGACACGGCAGGGCCTGAGTGTGGGTCTTAGCCTGTGCACCCTCTGTGCCTGGGGCCCCTGCCCAGCTGGCTGGGCCGCCTCCGGGTCTGGCAGTGCCCAGGACGGTGCTCCAGGCCCCTCAGATAGGGAGCGCTGTGTCAGAGCAGCGGCCAGTCCTGTCCCGGGATCCTGGCCCTCGGTCTGAGTGATGCTGACCTCTCACTTCGGACGTCATGCACCATCCTCTTGGAGGGCAGGGGCCAACAGCTGTGCTGGGCAGCCCACACGTGTCATTGTCACCTGCAGTTGCCACCTGGCCGACCCTGGTTGATTGGGAAATGCTCTCATCCCTGCAGCCCCTGCGGCCATAGCTGGTGCCTCCTCCTCCAGGAAGGCCATGCGGATTGGCCCAGACCTTCTCCAGCCTCCTGTCAACGGCTCTCCATCCCCTGAGTCCAGCTGGCTCAGCCCATTTTCAGACACAGCTAGGGGTGGCTCTTCCAAGGGGGTGCTCTGGTGGGGCGAGTCTGTCTCCCCGTTGACCCAGGGCCGTTTCTGTCACTGGCCCTAAGGAACACACCCCTACCCCCTGCCTGTTCCCCGGGACTCAGGCGTCTCAGGCACATGTGTCCTGGCACACCCGCTGCTGCCTGGCTGCCCGGCGGGGGTCTGACGGGCAGTGTTTGTGGCCCTCACCACCGGCCCCCCTGCAGGGGAGTACATCAAGACCTGGCGGCCACGTTACTTCCTCCTCAAGAATGACGGCACCTTCATTGGCTACAAGGAACGGCCGCAGGACGTGGACCAGCGCGAGGCCCCCCTCAACAACTTCTCTGTGGCACGTGAGTGTCCCCTTGGCCTCTCGGGGTTTGGATTTGGGAGTTGGCTAGAGCCCTTTATAGCCCCCAGGCCCCACGGTGGGGTCCCCTGCAGCCTCCATGTCCTGGGCCAAAGAGGAATGTGCACCGGCTGAGTGGGGGTCTCCGGTGAGCCCCAAGGCTGAGGCTGGCTGGGTGGGGATCTCCGGGTGAGTCCCAAGGCCGAGGCTGGCTGGGTGGGGGTCTCCGGGTGAGTCCCAAGGCCGAGGCTGGCTGGGTGGGGGTCTCCGGGTGAGTCCCAAGGCCGAGGCTGGCTGGGTGGGGGTCTCCGGGTGAGTCCCAAGGCCGAGGCTGGCTGGGTGGGGGTGGAGAGGTCTCTGGGCTGAGGCCCAAGGCTGGGGCTGGCTGGGTGGGGACTCTGGGCCGCGTCCCAAGGCTGGCTGATCGTGGAATAGTTTCCCGATGTCCTTGCTCTGGAGGCTGGCTGGTCCAGCCAAGTGGCAGCAGAACCCGGCTCAGGGTGGATGGCTGACCTGGGGGCCCTCCTCCAAGGCAGGCAGATGCAGCCCATCAGGGCCTCTCCCTGGGAAACCCCGTGGGTGAGGGGCAGGGGTACATGGGGGTGTCACCCCAGGAAGAGCCCGTGCCTCTCCCTGCACAGACTTGCGGCCCCCAGACCCTGTGCGGGTCCTTTGCTTCCCCTGTGTCAGTCTGCAAGGCAGAAGCCTCCTTGCCCAAGGTGGGGGGCGGGTGCAGAAAGGCCAGCGGGGGACCTTGGCTGGAGCGTCCCACAGAGATGAAAGAGATGTGGCCATCCCCTACACCCTGCTGTGGCTTTATTCCCTACCTGTAGCGGGGCAGATGTGACCCGACCCATGTCAGACAGGGACCCAGGTGTGGAGACCAGGCACCCTGCTAGGTGGGAGGCCGGGGGCGCATGGGCCTCCCAGCCTGGTCTCCATTTTCTGTGTCCTTGCCCTGGAGCCCAGCTCTGCCTGGGGCAGCCAGGGACACTGGCTGGGCGTGCAGGTGTGATTGAGTGGCTAATTAGGGCCCAGCTGTGGGACATCTGTGTGGCGGGTGAACTGCAGGCCTCCAGGATCTGTCTCAGGCTGGGCTGCGGTGCAGAGTGAGGTCCTCAGCCAGGGCTGGTCCTGGGGTCCGTCCCGGGCCCTCCCCTCCAGGTAGCTCTGCCCTCCCTGCTTTGGAGCCTGGGGTCCTCTAACTCCCCTGACCTTGCTGGATCCCCAGGTTCTGGTCCAGAGTCTGGGAGGTGGTTAAATGCAGGGAGTCCATCTCCAGGCTGGACAGGGAGGGACTCCAGCCTCAGGTATAAGGGGAGGTGGGGTCAGTCAGGCACCCTGGCTGCTAGGCAGGCTGTGGCCCGCAAACCCCGCCCTAAAGCTTCTAGAGGGCGGAGGCCGTGCCCTGCAAAGCCCCAGGCTGAGGGGCTGGGGTTTACCAGGACCTGGTTCCTGTGGGCTGAGGTCTCCTCCCCTGGCTCTTCCCGCCTCAGTCCAGCGGCAGCAGGGCAGCCTGGGAGAGTAGGGGATACTGGGGATGAGGGGAGACCAGGAAGTCAGACGCCCCCATCCCCTGACAGCCTTGTAACCACACAGGACACTCACTGTGACTTGTCCCATGCCCTCCCCAGCACCTCCTCGGTTGGGGTTGGGGGCTTCAGATATCAGGGAGACGCTGGGGACCCCCTGTGTGCCTGGCAGCACTGGGACTGGCCTTTGCTGGGGGCAGTGCTGTGGATGTGTTCCCCAGGCCAAGGGCATCAGGAAGGAAGGAGGAAGAGAGCTCTCTGGAGGGGCACACGGTGGGCACCAGCCGGCAGTATTGCCTGAGCAGCGGGCAAGGCTGGGGCCTTCAGATGAGGCCATAGGTGGGTGGCGTGGAGTGCCTGGCCAAGGAGCAGAGCTGGGCCGGGGGCTGTGCTGGGTCTGTCCAGGGTCTTTTCCCTGGGGAAGGGTTCCGGGGCAGTGGGCTCGAGACTGGCCCAGGGGATGGTGTTCTAGCTTGTAGCTTGTAGACTGGACTGTCCAGGACCAAGTGGAGGTGGGTGTGCACACGGACTGCACACGGCTTTTCCACGTGTTTTCCTGTGTTGACACAGGCCACCCTTCCCACCAGGCTTGTTCCGAGCCCTCTCCTGGCCTCCAGGCCTGGAAGACAGCTCCCTCGATGCCTGGCTGGGCCTCCTTGTGGTTACCAGGGCCCCATACTGGAATGTCAGAGCCCCCTCACTGGCCCCTGAACCCCCTCCTGCTTTGCACAGGCTGGGCCAGAGCCTGCCAAGGAGCCCCAGCAGCTGCACGCTCCACTCACACCTCTCAGGGCCCTTTGCATTCCCACAGCCCCCAGCTGTGAGTGTACATGCTGTAGGTGTGGCTGTGCTCCAGGTGTGTGTGTGCCCCAGGTGTGGATGTGCCCCAGGTGTGTGTGTGCTCCAGATGGGGCTGTGCTCAGGTGTGTGTGTGCCCCAGGAGTGTGTGTGTCCCCGGCGTGGGTGTGCCCCAGGTGTGGGTGTGCCCCAGGTGTGTGTCTTCCAGGTGTGCGAGTGCCGCAGGCGTGCGTGTGCCCCAGGTGTGGATGTGCCCCAGGTGTGGGTGTGTGTGTGCCCCAGGTGTGGGTATGCCCCAGGTGTGGGTGTGCCCCAGGTGTGTCTTCCAGGTGTGCGAGTGCCCCAGGCGGGCGTGTGCCCCAGGCATGCAAGTGCCCCAGGCATGCGTGTGCCCCAGGTGTGCGAGTGCCCCAGGTGTGTCTTCCAGGTGTGCGAGTGCCCCAGGTATGCGTGTGCCCCAGGTGTGGGTGTGCCCCAGGTGTGTGTGTCTTCCAGGTGTGCAAGTGCCCCAGGTGTGGGTGTGCCCCAGGCGTGGGTGTGCCCCAGGTGTGGGTGTGCCCCGGGTGTGCGAGTGCCCCAGGTGTGTGTGTGTGCCCCAGGTGTGTGTGTCTTCCAGGTGTGCATGTTATCCAGGTGGCTGTATTTCCCAGGTACTCAGGGTGAGTTTGGGAAAATAGCAGGACATTTCTACACCAGGGGGACAAGCTGCTTTCCTGGGTTGCCCCCTCATGCCAGCCCCTCTGTGGGGTGTCCATACCCCTCATCATCTGAGGCCTGGCGCACCATGGAGCTCAGAGACTGAAGGAAGGAAGGAAGGGCTGTAGGAGGGGATGATTGTGTGCGGCTGACCTGACCCTGGGCCAGATGTCCCATGGGGCTGCCTCAACCTGGAGCAGAGTGTCCGAGCTGGAACGGGGGTCCTAGCCCCACTCTGAGGCGAGAAACTGACTTGGAGAGAGGAAGGGATGGGGCTTCCCAGGACTGGTGGGTGGAGTGCAAGGGGAGCTGGCCGGTGTGGCTGGGTCTGTGGTGAGGCCCTGGGAGGGGAGGGGACGCCTGCAGACAGAGGCGCCTGCCTGCCCGCCCGCAGAGTGCCAGCTGATGAAGACGGAGCGGCCGCGGCCCAACACCTTCATCATCCGCTGCCTGCAGTGGACCACCGTCATCGAGCGCACCTTCCACGTGGAGACGCCTGAGGAGCGGTATGCGGGCTGTGGTGGCCCCGCCAGGCAGCTTGGGCGGCCCCAGTGCCTAGGAGGGACACGGGGATGGTGGGGTGCTGGCCTCATTCCCCAGTGCTGCTAGGCCTCCTCAGAGCCCAGCTTGGAAACTGGCCCAGTCCTGCCTGTGGTGTTTTGGTGGGGAAACTGAGGCTGGAGATAAAAACTGGGTAGGGGCCGGGTGCGGTGGCTCACATCTGTAATCTCAGCACTTTGAGAGGCCAAGGCGGGTGGATTACCTGAGGTCAGGAGTTGGAGACTAGCCTGCCAACTTGGTGAAACCCCCATCTCTACTTAAAATACAAAACTTAGATGGGTGTGGCAGTGTGCGTCTGTAATCCCAGCTACTCGGGAGGCTGAGGCACAAGAATCACCTGAACCCAGGAGGCAGAGGCTGCAGTGAGCTGAGATTGCGCCACTGCACTCCATCCTGGGTGATAAAGCAAGACTCTGTCTCAAAAAAAGAAAAACCTGGTGGGAGAGGGCCAGCCTGGCTTGGAGGCAGAGTCCCGCTGTGGGGCGGAGCCTGGGTGCCCCCAGTGCAGGAGGGCTTCCTGGCTTTGAGTGTGTGTGGCCAAGCCCAGGTCAAGGGGTGGCTTCCTCAGGCTGCCTTTGGGGACCCCGACAGCTGTGGGGCCATGCTTGCCAGGCTGGTGGGTGGCTGAAAGCCATGGGGTGCAGCTCCTGACCCGGCTGTGGCCTCGTCGGACTTGCAGGGAGGAGTGGACAACTGCCATCCAGACGGTGGCCGATGGACTTAAGAAGCAAGAAGAGGAGATGATGGACTTCCGGTCGGGCTCACCCAGTGACAACTCGGGGGCTGAAGAGATGGAGGTGTCCCTGGCCAAGCCCAGGCACCGTGTGGTGAGGCCTGTCCCCACATTTCTGCCTGTGCGTGGGGCCGCGTTGGGTGTGGAGGGCTGGGTGGGTCATAGGGTCCCAGCTCGGTCCAGGAGAAACTTGGTACTCCACAGCATCCCCACCTAGGCTGGTTTTCCGTGTGAGCGCAGCCTCCTCCCAGGTGGGTCCCCTTCCCTATGTCAGAGGAAAAGTGGGGCTGCCAAGGCCTGCCAGGACAGCGTCACCCCATTCTTTCCCGAACCCCACACTCTGAGCTGGGGCCACAGCCCCGTTTCCTGTAAGCCTGGCGTCCCCACTGAGCCCAGCAGGTCACGAGGTGTGAAGCAGGGGCCCCTTCCTGCCTCCGTCTCCAAGTCTGCTGAGGGTGACTCTGGGGCCCCTCATGCCACCCCACACATGCCGACCAGCTGGGCACTGTGGTCAGTGCCGCCTGCTAACTCTGGTGCTTGCCTGCAGACCATGAATGAGTTTGAGTACCTGAAGCTGCTGGGCAAGGGCACTTTTGGGAAGGTGATCCTGGTGAAGGAGAAGGCCACGGGCCGCTACTATGCCATGAAGATCCTCAAGAAGGAGGTCATCGTGGCCAAGGTGAGGCCGGGGCGGCCGGGTGGGGTGGGGACGAGGGCACGGGGCGGCAGCTCACCCAGCCTTCCCTTACAGGACGAGGTGGCCCACACGCTCACGGAGAACCGAGTCCTACAGAACTCCAGGCACCCCTTCCTCACGGTGAGTGGGAGCCCAGGTGGGGCTGCAGGGCTGGGGCCAGGTAGCCACTCACGGGGCAGTCTCTCAGGGCGCTGTCCTGTGTTCTGGGGCACGTGAGGGCTTTAGGCACTCGGACTCCGCCGCTGGTGAGACTGGCCTGCCCTAGAGGGTTAGGCTGTGGGGTTGCCGGGTGTGGGCTGGGGGGCTATGCTCACTGCCCCCATGTACAGACAGGCGGGGCAGGTGGCCCTGGTCTTCCTTGCACTCTGCGAGGTCCCCACACTCCACGCCCCTGCAGCCCCACCTTCCGGGCTTCTGAGGAGGCTCTGGCTAGGTGGGCCCCGGTCCTGGGGACTCGGCCCAGGAGGGGTTTAGTTCTGCTTGGTTAGTTCTGGGTCACTGTTTGGAGGCGATTCTCCCGCAGATGGGGCCTTTGCTTTAAAAGCGCAGCCGCCTGTGGTGGAAGGCGTGCAGGTGGCTGTGCCTGGGAGGGTGCATCTGGGCCCCTTGCAGAGGTCCCAACCCACCCTGCAGATCTGGGCCCCAGCCACCTGGCTAACCTTTCAAATGCTCCTTGGAGCCTGAGGGGCTTCCTGGGGCCCAGTGTGTGGTACAGGGCAGTGTGGTACGGGGCTACCATCCTGCCCCCGAATGGGGACCGCAGTTCCAGCTCTGCTTCCTCGCAGGCCCTGAAGTATTCCTTCCAGACCCACGACCGCCTCTGCTTTGTCATGGAGTACGCCAACGGTGGCGAGGTAGGGGCTGGGGCTGCGGGGGACGGGCCTCGGGGCTTCTGGGCCCCGCCCTGGCAGCCGGGCCACCCGTGGTGGGGCTGGTTCTTCGCAGAGCCTCGGCTGCTCTGCACTTCGCTGGACAGTGCTCCCTGCAGGGTGGGCGCTGCTGCCTGCTCTGGGGTAACCTGCTCCTGCTGAGTTAGGGCTTCTGGTGCTTTCTAGGCCCCTGAGCTCTCTGGGGGCTGGTCCCTTCCCTGTGCCCAATGCCCTGAGACCCTGCCTGAGAAAACAGCCCTGCAGGCCACGGGGGCAGAGGCCACGGCCACGGCTGTGCCTCAGGTCTCGCCTCCTGCAGCTCTTCTTCCACCTGTCCCGCGAGCGTGTGTTCTCCGAGGACCGGGCCCGCTTCTATGGCGCCGAGATCGTGTCAGCCCTGGACTACCTGCACTCGGAGAAGAACGTGGTGTACCGGGACCTCAAGGTGCAACCACAGGCAGGCGGGGGCGGGGACAGAGCCCTAGGGGCCTGGCGGTGCTGACCTTGAGGCCACCTTTCCCCCCAGCTGGAGAACCTCATGCTGGACAAGGATGGGCACATCAAGATCACAGACTTCGGGCTGTGCAAGGAGGGGATCAAGGACGGTGCCACCATGAAGACCTTCTGCGGCACTCCTGAGTACCTGGCCCCTGAGGTGTGCGCCCCACCTGCGTGCACATGTGTCGCTGCGTCCCCATGTCCCGAGCACACGCAGTGCCATGTCCTCTCGGTGCCCCAAGCGCATCACGACACCTCCCCGGCAGTGTCCTGGACACCCTCTGATGCCGAGCCCTGCCCGTCTGCCACCTGTGCAGGTGCTGGAGGACAATGACTACGGCCGCGCGGTGGACTGGTGGGGGCTGGGCGTGGTCATGTACGAGATGATGTGTGGCCGCCTGCCCTTCTACAACCAGGACCACGAGAAGCTCTTTGAGCTCATCCTCATGGAGGAGATCCGCTTCCCGCGCACGCTCGGCCCTGAGGCCAAGTCTTTGCTCTCAGGGCTGCTCAAGAAGGACCCCAAGCAGAGGTGAGGGCCACTCATCCCAGCTGCAGGCTCTGCCTCCATCCCCTCACCCCCAGTCTGCAGCTGCCCCTGCGCCAGGGGGTCTTGGCACCTCCCAGACCCCGCTGATGGCCAGAGCTTGATGTCCTTGGCCAGGGCTGATCCCCAAAGCCTCAGGCCCAGGCAGAGTGGCTGGGCAGGCTGGGGCATTTGGGCGTCTCTCCCCAACCCTGCAGCCCCCACACACCCACTCAGGACGCCCCTGCCCTGTCGTGAGCCCTGGGGTGCTTCGCTACCCACAGCTGCTCAGACACTGCACCACTGGCTCCCCTCCCTGGCCCCAGAACGCCCTGCCTGGCGGGCCGTGCATCATAGCAGGAGGAAGGGGCCTGAGCCCGGGGCCTGGGGGTGGCAGTACCAACACTGTGGCCTTGTTTCCTGCCCGCAGGCTTGGTGGGGGCTCTGAGGACGCCAAGGAGATCATGCAACACCGCTTCTTTGCTGGCATCGCGTGGCAGCACGTGTACGAGAAGAAGGTGCGGCCACTCCCGCGTATCTACACGCACATGGCACACTCGCGGCACTCCCACACACTCAAACGCCCTCACCTTGGGAGCCTGGGCAGCCTTGCTGCACCAACCCCAGTGCCTGGTGCGCAGAGGCTCTGGCACTGCTGAGTTGGTCAGGAAACCGGCCTGGTCCTCACTTCCTCCTTCCCCTGGAGGTGTGTCACACCAATGCCAGCTTTAGGGGTCCCTTACCTGAGGCTGCGCAGGGAAGGCTGGCTGGCGGTGGACCAGGGGTGCTGCACCTTGCTCTCCAGCAGTTCCTCCTATTGTCTGACCTCAGTCCCTTCTGCTGCAAGGAGAGCCCAGCTCTACTCTCTGGCTGTGCAGGGACAGTTCTGGCACATGGGGGAGTCCACCCTGGAGGGAGGGAGCTCTTTCTGCCTGAGTTGCCGTCTTGGGGGCTCATCTTTCAGGGACCCCAGGAGCCCCGGCCCTCACCTTGGCTGATGGGTCTGCAGCTGGGTTCAGAAGCCTGCACTCTGGGTGCTGGGTGCCGTCACCAGGTGTGCTTCTGACCACTTGCCAGCCTGCTCCTCCCTGAATGCCTGTCCTAGGCCACGTGCAGCTGGCTGGGCTGGGCAGCGCTGGGACCCAGCTGGGTACCTGTCCTGCCATCAACATGGTGCCCTGGCCCTGATCCCAGTTCCTGCCCTGCCCTCCAAGGGTATGGGGGTGCCTGGGCAGTGCTCAGCCTCTGCCCATCCTTGCCCAGAGACTTTGCTAATTGACGGTGGATGTGCTGGTGCCCAGGCCCGACTCTGGGATGGGGCAGTGCTTGAGGGAGTCCTTGACTGTGGGACCCGAGGGACTCTCTGACAGCTCCTCACGTGTGCACATAACTTGTTAGTTACTCTTGATCCTGGGTCATCAGTCCTCTCTGCAGCCAGATGCCAGCAGGCTGCCGTCCTGTGGTCCCTGAGCCGTGAAGGAGGCAGGGCAGGCTCACCCACCTTGTTCCACAGTCTGTCTCTTTCCCAAGTTACAGGAAGACCAATAAGAAAACCAGAAAGGAAAAGGAAATAGTCATCACCTTCTACTGGTGGCAGAGGGTCTCTGGGAGCTGGGCTGCACTACCTCCTGTCGCCTGCTGGGGCTGCTGTGAGGGCAGCTTGGCGACTCAGCTGATGAGGAGGGTGTCTCCATGCTCCCACACCCCTCGTGCCCCTCCCTTCCCGAGCTGCCTCTGTAGGGGGTTGGGGGCTTGTTGCTTCTGACATCCATGCTGCCTGGAGCCCCCCTGGTGATCTGGCTGCTGTGAGGGGCCGGGGATGCTGGGAGCGGGGAGCAAAGCTCATGACGGTCCCATCTGCCCACCTCTGCAGCTCAGCCCACCCTTCAAGCCCCAGGTCACATCGGAGACTGACACCAGGTATTTTGACGAGGAGTTCACAGCCCAGATGATCACCATCACACCACCTGACCAAGGTGAGGGGCCACTGTGCCTGCCCCGCCCACTCCCTTTGCTCTCCACACTCAGGCCTGCAGTCTTCTGCTTTTTTGGCTTCAGATGTTTTAACATCTAAAATTTTAAAAGATCAGGGTGGGAGGCCGTGCTCTGAGGGCCCAGGTCCCCGGGTCGAGCTGTGGGGACTCAGTTTCCCGGTGGCATGGCAGCGTGCTGGCCGTGCTTTGAGAGGTTGGCTCCCTACTGGAGCTGTGGGCAGGCAGAGGTGCGGGGAAGTGGGGTGCCCGAGTCTGAGCCGTCTACACCCACAGACGACAGCATGGAGTGTGTGGACAGCGAGCGCAGGCCCCACTTCCCCCAGTTCTCCTACTCGGCCAGCGGCACGGCCTGAGGCGGCGGTGGACTGCGCTGGACCACAGTGTGGAGGGATGGAGAGGCAGCCTCGTGCCATGATCTGTATTTAATGGTTTTTATTTCTCGGTGCATTTGAGAGAAGCCATGCCGTCCTCCCGAGCCCAGATGGAAAGACGTTTTGTGCTGTGGGCGGCACCCTCCCTCGCAGCGGGGTAGGGAAGAAAATTGTCCTGCGGGTTTTAATTTATTTCATCTGATTTGTTCTCTGGATGTGGCCTCAGCCCTCAGAACAATCCAATTCTGCAGCTATGCGCGATGTGGGGTTGGGGGGCCGGGCAGGTCCTGCCGCTGGGTCCCCTCACTCCATCAGCCAGCCGCACAGGCTGTCACCAGCTATCATCTCTCTGTGGCCCTGGGCCTCACTGCAGCCTGGCGGCACCAGACGCAACCTCACTGTGGCATGCTGGCCGGCACCCTCTCCTGGGAGAGGCAGGCACATGGCAGCCTCCAGCACCAGGGCTGCGTCTCTGAGGACGCTGGACGCTGGGCCCCCTGGGATGGGACCAGGGATGGGAGATGGGCCAGGGTTTGCTCAGTCGGACAGAGGAGCAAGGTTTCAATTTGTTACTACGTATCATGTTCAAATGCATTTTGGGGTTTTTAATCTTGGTGACAGAAAAGCCCTCCCCCTTCCCCCTTCTGTGTCATGGTTCTTGGTGACTGTCCCACCGGGAGCTTCCCCTCAGATGACCTCTCCTCGATAGCACTTGACCTTTTTGACGCTGAACCTTTCCGCTGTCGCCCCACGCCCGCCCTGACTCGCTCTGAGGGGTGGCCGTCCCTGGGCCCTCCACGCCCCTCCCAGCCGGACGCTGCCGCTGCTGCTGCACCATGGCGTTTTTTTACGACATTCAACTTTAGTATTTTTACTATTATAATATGAAACTTTCCCTCCAAATTCTTCAATAAAAGTTGCTTTTCAAGTTTTTGGCTCACTTTGCTGGGTAGAGGAGTGTGTGGCCAGGGAGGAGTGGGGAGCCCCGGGAGGGAACCAGCATCCTCGGAGCAGCTGGTCTTCCCCCTCTCCTCTTGTGGATACCACTGCCCCAGCAGGTCTGGGGACAGGCTTCGTGGTGGGCTCAGGGAGTCTGCAGGCCTGTGCCCAGGGACAGCCTTCCATGGAAGACATCCCCTCCCATCCTCAGAGTCCTGGCCTGAGGGGAGATGGGAGGCCCCGGCTGGCCCTGCCCTTGGAATCCACCTCTTCTTCCCTTGACCCCACCAGCTTCACCCCAGCCGTGAAGACCACTGGACTATGTGGCCATCTGCACCCCAGCCCCAGCTGCTGTTCCCCTGGGCGGGGCAGTGAATGAGACCCTGACGACCAGGAAGGCTCAGAGCTAGAGTCAAGATCGTGGCTTGGGCCACAGTGGAAGAAGGGCCAGGAGGCCCCAGAGAGTGGCCTGTTTGAAGTTGGACAGAGCGGGAGGAGGGGCTGCAGGGGGAGGGGATGGGCTGGGTCCCAGGTTACCCCCGAGCACTGAGTTCTGAGCTTGAACAGCCTACAGAATGTGCTTGTGCTGCCACCTGGTGGATGCCTGCCGGAACTGCTGCCCGAGCCAGGAGCGGAGCCTGCTGCCAAGCCACTGACACGGCGCGTTGGCCACCAGGCTCTGGGCGGTGACCCGCAGAGGGGGTGGGAGCCACAGGCCGGGAGCCTCAGCTTCCTCCTCTCTCAGACGGACTCGCCGTAGGTGTGGGTGGTTGCAGAGCCCGGCCCCTGGTGATGGCAGTTGGCCCGTCTCCAAGGTATTCCCAGGGGTGCGTGGCTGCCCTCGCTTCACTGGAGAGGGTGCCCCACAGGGAGCACAGGCGGGGGAGGATGTCCTGGGTCTGTGGGAGCCGAGAACAGCCACATCTGGAGCAGTCCGAAGCTCTCCTCTGGGTGAGCTTGGAGACCAACAGGCTGCAAGGCTGACACCGCTTTTCAGAAAACACACGAAACGTGACGCTAAATAACGCTCTGACGGTAAAGGCATCCGGATTTCAGCTCTATAAATAATGTGAATCCTAGACACCAAAGAGTACGGCAATGCCCTTCCACTGTCCTCCAACTTTGAGCAAAGCACTCTGAAAGTAACCAAGGTATGGACGTGCTCAGCAGACAGCGCCTCCCAGCCAGCCAGGCTGAGGCACATGACCTGCTTCTCCCAGCAGGGCCCCTCCGACGATGTGGGGCTGCCTTCGGGCCATTTCTTTCCTTTTTTATGGTACAGATGGGGTCTCGCTATGTTGCTTAGGATGGTCTTGAACTCCTGGCTCAGGCAATCCTCCTGCCTTGGCCTCCCGAAGTGCTGGGATTACAAGGTGTGAGCCACCACACCTGGCCCCTTAGGGATAGTTCGATAGTCCAGAGTGAGAGGCTTCAAAGTCACTGGCATTAATACAAATGTGACCCCATGCGATATCACTGTTACAAGTGGGTGAGGTCCTAACAAAATGAACAAAAAAATGGAGACCGTCTGAGGATTTCCTGACCTTCCTGGCTACTTCTGGATGGAACCATCTGCAGCAGGAGGCAGCATCCCAGGGGTGGGATGCACATCTCAGAAGGAAACTTCAGGAGGTGCAGGTGCCCTTAAAAAGGGCAGTCCAGTTCTGGCTAGTAAGGTCGGAGAAGGACCCTGCAGCCCCACCAGGGCCTGCTGAACAGTGAGGGCTGTCTACAGAAGTTGTAACAGGAATATGCCAACCAAGAGGAAGCTCTCCTTCCTGTGTCTGAGGTACCTCAAAGGAAATAGTGCATAAAGTGGTCCATTTCCGAGACAAAGTGCCTTAAATCGGTTTAGGTCAGCAAACTACAAAAGAAACAGGATATACTAGGCCCCTGCTTCGATAGCCAAAGCCTGCTTTGTCGACCCTACCCCCTGCCCCTTAGTTGCCCTCACCCAAACCAAAGAAGTTCAGTCTAAGATGAAAGTTTACTAGCCTGCAAAATAGCTCGCTTTGTCTGTTCTTATCAGCCTGCCCAGCTACTTAGGTGATAAGTCAAATATTTAAAAAGCCCTTGAGCTAGCTAGGATTGCAGTGCATTGTGGGCTGCAACAAAATGCAGCAGGACAACCCTGAAGAAAACACCTAAATCCCCTTCCCAACAGTTGCTTGTTGAATCTATATTGGGTGTGCCTGCCCATCAGACAGCCAATGTTACAAGACTGTCATTAAAAGTCTCACTTTGGCTGTTCTCTGGGTCTGAGTCCATTCTTCGGATGTGGATGGGTGAGTTTATTTCTCATATACCCACGTCATGCTCTTTCCAGCACAAGGCCCGCCTGGAAAGGAGGAAGGTAATAAAAATAACTTTAGCACTTAGACTTCCCATGTTTCAGCAGGTGTGGGTAACTGAAGGCTCTGCAGGTCCCTGGGTCTGGGGGCCTCAGTGTTGTAGACAAGGTCCCAGGAGCCGAGAGTGCTACTGGGGAATGTCAGGATAAGGGCTGGGCCTGCCTTCCCAGAAGATGTCACTTCCAGAGAATCTGCTCAAAGACTGAATTTATCATACAATAGATAATTCTTTCATCCTTTTGCTTCTAGCAAGTCTGGGATAGAGCCACAGAAGGGGCTAACAGCATGTGGTTTGGTTTTGCTTTTTTTTTTTTTAGTTATTTAAAAAAAAAAATCTCACAATCACTGCTCTTTAATTAAGGTGTCTAGACCATTTATATTTAATGTAATTATTGATACGGTTGAGCTTAAATATACCATCTTGCTCTTTTTCTATATGTCCCATTTCTTCTTTGCTCCCCCTTTCCTTTCTCCCTCTTTCTGGATTAAATGAGTATTGTTGATTGTCTCACTTTATCTCCTTTATTGGCTTATTTTTTGGATTTCACCAGTTTTCCCACTGATGTTCTTTTTCTATTCCAGTATACACATACAATCCAGGATACTGTGTTGCATTTAGAATAAATACATTTTGAATAAATGAATGAAGCTTCCCAGGCTTCTGGGGATTTCATATAAGTGGGATCATACAATGTTTGTCTTTTTATGTCTGGGTTATTTCACTCAGCTATAATACCTTTAAGGTTCATTCTTGTTGTAGCATATCAGAATTTTATTTCTTTTTAAGGCTGAATAATATTTTATTGCATGTATAGACCACACTTTGTTCATCCATTTGTCCTGTGACAAACATCTGGGTTGTTTCTACATTTTAGCTACTGGGGATAATGCTGCCATAAACCTGTATACAAATACCTGTTCATGTTCCTGCTGTCAATTATTTTGTGTCTATACCCGTAAGTGGAATTGCTGGATCAAATAGAAATTCTATGTTTAGTTTTTATTTTCCTTTTTTTTTTTGAAAAAAATAAAAGAAAATTTATTTTTATTTTTTTATAAACAAGGAAAAAAGGAAAGACTCTGTCTAGGTGTGTCTCCAGGCTGGAGTGAAGTGGCACAATCTTAGCTCACTGCAACCTCTGCCTCTTAGATTCAAGCAATTCAGCCTCCCAAGTAGCTGGGATTACAGATACATGCCACCACACCCAGCTAATTTTTTGTATTTTAGTAGAGATGGGATTTCACCATGTTGGCCAGATGGTCTCCATCTCCTGACCTCGTGATCCACCCGCCTCGGCCTCTCAAAGTGCTGGGATTACAGGCATGAGACACCACACCTGGCCTTCATTTTATTTTTTTTGAGACAGAGTTTCACTATGTTGCCCAGGCTGGTCTCAAACTCCTGGTCTCAAATGGTCCTCCTGTCTCAGCCTTCCAAACTGCTAGGATTGCAGCATTAGCCACTGTGCCAGGCCTATGTTTAATGTTTTGAGGAACTGCCTACTGTTTTCTGCACTGGCTGCACCATTTCACATTCCCACCAGCGGTGCACAAATGTTCCAATTTCTCCAAATCCTCCCTGACATTTGTTTTGTTTTCAAATAACAGCTATCCTGATAGGTGTGAGGTGGTATCTCATTGGGTTTTGTTTGCATTTCCCTGTTAATCAGTGACATTGAGCATCTTTTCATGTGCTTGTTTTTACATATTCTTTGAATAAATGTTTATTCAAGTCCTTTGCCCATTTTTGAATTTTTTTTAATTGTTTCGTGTTAGGAGTTCTCAGTGTATAGATGGTCCCTGACTTACAATGGTTCAACTTACAATTTTTCAGCTTTATGGTGGTACAAAAGTGATACATATTCAGTTGCTCCTTAACAATATTTTCAACTCATGATGGGTTTATCTGAATGTAACCCATTGTAAGCTGAGGAGCACCTGTATAGACAACTGTCTTCTTAAAAAATTTTTGATTTTCTTCCAGACAGAGTCTCTCTCTGTCACCCAGGCTGGAGTGCAATGGTGCGATCTCGGCTCACTATAACCTCTGCCTCCTGGGTTCAAGCGATTTCCTGGCCTCAGCCTTCCCAGTAATTGGGACTATAGGTGTGCACCACCATGCCCAGCTCATTTTTTTTTTCTTTTTAGAACGGGGTTTCACAATGTTGGCCAGGCTCTTCTTGAACTCCTGACCTCAGGTGATTCACCTGCCTCAACCTCCCAAAGTGTTCAGATTATAGGTGTGAGCCACTGCACCTGGCCTAGGCAATTGTCTTTGAGAGAGATTATATATATATACACACACATATTTAAAGACAGGCTCTTGCCATGTTGCCTAGGCTGGCCTTAAACCCCTATCAAGTGATTCTCTAAGCTTAATCTCCTGAATAGGTGGGATTACAGGCACTTTCAAAAAAGAAAAAATCCTACCTTTTGTCTTCCCAAATGGTGGCCATTTCAGGTGCTCTTCATATCTTTGTGTATATGCAGTTTCCATCTGGTATCATTTTCCTCTGCCAAAAAAGCTGCTTTTGACAATTTTTGTAAATCTTTCAGCTTCTGTATGTCTCAAAAGTCTTCATCTCACCTTCACTTTTGAAAGATATTTTCACTGGGCATAGAATTCTAGGCTGACATTCTTTTCTGTCAAAACTAAATTTGGATGTTTATTCAAGTCCTCTGCCCAGCCCATAGTTGCTCACTGTCTGCTTGCAGTTTCTAATGAGAAGTCTTGCTGCCATTCTTTGTTCCTATAAACACAAAGTGTTTTTTTTCCTCTGGCTGCTTTTAGTATTTTTTTTTCACTGGTTTGGAGGAATTTCATGATGATGTGCTTCATGTAATTTTCTCCATGTTTCTATTGGGTTTGTTGAGCTTCCTGGATCTGTGGCTTTATGCTTCCACCAAATTAGGAAATTTTATGGCCATTATCTTATTTATTTATGTAGAGACAGAGTTTTGCTCTTGTCGCCCATGCTGGAGTGCAGTGGCGCAATCTCAGCTCACTGCAACCTCTGCCCCCTGGGTTCAAGTGATTCTCCAGCCTCAGCCTCCCGAGTAGCTGGGACTACAGGCATGCACCACCATGCCCAGCTAGTTTTTGTATTTTTAGTAGGGACCAGGTTTCACCACGTTGGCTAGGCTGGTCTTGAACTCCTGACCTCAGGTGATCCACCTGCTTTGGCCTCCCAAAGTGCTGGGATTACAGTGGCGAGCCACTGTGACCAGCCTACTATTATTTTTTCCAAAAGTTGTCTCTACGCTGCTATGCCCCTGATCCATGGCTCTCCAGTGAAAGGCACAGTAGGCTGTTTGAAGTTGTCCCACAACTCAGGAGTGCTCTGTTATTTTCCCCATTTTTTTTCTGTTCCCTTTTGGATAGTTTATATTGCTATGGCTTTGCGTCCACTAATGTTTTGTTCTGCAATGTCTATTTTGGTTTTAATCTCACCAGTGCATTTTCCATCTCAGGCATTGTATTTTTGTCTCTGGAAGTTGTTTGGGGCATTTTTATGTCTTTCATTCCTTTTCTTAAAATGCTCCTGTTTTCTTCTTTTTTAATAATGGCCATTCTGATGTCCTTGCCTACTTAGTAGACAATTATTCTACTACCTTGTGTCATTTCTGGGTCTGCTTCTACAGACTAACTTCCCTACTCATTGTGTGGTGTATTTTCCTGTTTCTTTCCATGTTGGATTTTTTTTTTTCTTTTTTTCAGACAGAGTCTCATCCTGTCACCCAGGCTAGAGTGCCATGGTGAGATTTTGGCTCACTGTAACCTCCACCTCCCAGGTTCAAGTGATTCTCCTACCTCAGCCTCCCAAGTAGCTGGAATTACAGGTGCGTGCCACCATGCCCAGCTTATTTTTGTATTTTTAGTAGAGACGGGGTTTCACTATGTTGGCCAGCCTGCTCTCTAACTCCTAGCCTCAACTGATCCGCCCACCTCAGCCTCCCATAGTGGTTGGATTATATGCGTGACCCACTGACACTGGCTTCGTGCTTGTTCTAAAAAAAGACAAAACCAAATGTTTTCCCCCTTACTTTTGAGTTTCGTTCTGGATGCTATTAAAGTATCTGCAACCATTTAGTCTTTTTGAGGCTTGACTTAAAGAGTTGTCAGGAAGGAACAGGGCAGTCTCTAGTCTAGAGCTAATCTAGCCTGGATATGGCATCAACATCCTTGTGAGTACTCTATCCTGTTCCCATGAATGATGTTTCTCCACACTTACTGCTGGGACTGTGACTTGCTTCCTGCTTTCTTCCAGTTTCATCACACACAGGAGCCATCAGTCCTGAGCAGGAGCCTTGAGGGGACACTGAGGCAGGTGCTAGTACAGCCCTCCAGCTGCCCTGGGCCCCGGGCATCTGTTCCATCTCAGACATTACTATCCTGCGCTGGCTGCTGTCTGACGTCTGCACATTTTGTCTTTTTTTTCTTTAGTCATCTATGGCCAGTTTCCGTTGCTCTGCCACAGCTGGAAGAGCAAGAAATATTGACTGCAAACATATATGGCGAGTACTGCTTTGGGCAAAGCCCCATCCCTCACGGAAGCGGCATCTCAGTTAGCAGAGAGAATAAGTACATTTGCATATTTGCTTAAATACGCATTATATCCAGTGGTAAAAGTTAGGCAGAGCAAGAGGGACCGTGATGGAAGGACCATCTTACTCATTAGGGCACTGGGATGCTTCTCTGAGCTGAACCCGGGGGAGCTCTATGGACATCCAGAGGACGAGCTCCCCAGGCAGAGGGAGTGGGCAGTGTGCAGGAGAAACATGCTGAGCATTCTCGGAACAGCAGGAAGGCCTGGCTGGGGCAGAGCAACCCTTGGGATGGGGGAGAAGGGGTGAAGCCAGAGGCTGTGGGGCCACAGGACATGTTTAGTCACTGGAGTGTTGGGACAGGGGAGTGACAGATCTGGCTGCTGTGTAAGAACAGACTGCCATGTGCAGGGCAGAAGCAGGGAGCCCAAGGAGTGCTATGCAGGGACCCTACAGGGGAGGGAGGCAGGCTGGCCTGAGCAGTGTGGTCCTGTGGGGCAGGCATGTGGCCGGAGGATGTGAAGGGAAGAGCTGACTGGCCCGAGGAGGCGGTGACGGCAGTAACAGAAATGAGGGCTTGGGTGGCGGTCTGTTGTGGACACCTGGAAGGAGTCAGCACATGGCTGACCGTGGCCACTTGCTGCTGGTGCTCCCAGCACAAAGTGCCCGTCAGCTGCTGCACTCTTGGTAACTGAGTGGGGCTGGTCAAGGAGGTTCTCAGTGCAGGAAGACCCCAGCCAGTCCTCTGCAATCCCTTCTAAGCTGCCCCCTGGAACTTAACCATGCTGACCACCTCTCTGAGGACCCCTCTACCCGTCACACGGGCATGGTATACCCTCAGCCCCAGAGCAGCAAATCCCACTCTGGGCCTGGCTCCAACCCTTCACCTGGGCACCACTGATTTTTCGCGAAGAATCAGCATCATGTGCCCCTCCAAGTGCTTCCCAGGAATACCAAAGGCTCTTCTCGACCCTCCCCAGCACACCCTCCCACCTGCCCTCTGCCCCAAACAGCCTTTACTCTAGTACAGAGCTTCTCACAGGGGCTGTGGCTCCCTGGAAGGGCTGGGATCCACCTCAGTGGACTCATGTGGGAACCCAGTACTCAAGCAGCCTGCCCTCTTCTGTCCTCCAGGCCGCCCCGCCTATCCTGTCAACTCCTCTTCCTTCAAGGCCCCACACAAGCTACACCGACTCCAGAGGGAGCACGGCTGGGGCCACCTCCCCTGCTAGACCAAAGCTCCTGGAGGGCAGGGGCCTGACCACACAGCCGCCAAACAAGCAGAGTGGACACCACGATGTGATGGATCAGGCGTGCATAACAGTGGCATCTGGGTATGGTGGGGAATGTCACCTCTGTACGAGAGCATGTAGTACACTGGCTGTGCACCCTGGAGCCAGACCTGGGTCCTTTCTCCCCATTTACCGCTAGGGTGAGCTGGGGAGGAGTGTTGTGGGCTGAGCCTTACCATCTGTAGAGTGGAACGAGTGAGGGGCCTCATGTGATACACAGAGGGGTCTCTAGGAGCTGGCAGGTAGACAGCAGGGGCAGCATGCCTCACCGACTGCCCCTTGGGCCCTACCAGGTGGATGCCCTCCAGCAGGTGGTAGGTCACAAACTCCACCCTCAAAAGTGCTGACACAGAGTCCTCTTGTGCAAATATAAAGAGGTTTATTCATTCTGTCATTAGGAGTACAAAATAGAACATGTAAAAGGCACCCCTCCCGCTCACCCCACAGTTCAGTGTGAACACCCAGCGTGCGTCCAGGGAAGGCTGCCGTGCATGGTGTGGCTCTCAGGGAAGGCAGCCGGCTTGAGCCAGCCTCAGGTCTCGAACATGGCGCAGCTGGTGCACAGCACTTTCTCATACATGTCACTGCAGCTGCGACAGCGCCAGGGAGGGGAGAGAAAAGCTGCTGTCAGGGGCTGAATTGTGTCCACCCCCCACCCCATTCAAACGTCAAAGTCCTAACCCAGGACTCCTCAGGACGTGACCTTGTCTGGTGACAGGACCACCACAGGCATAATCCGTCTAGATCAGGCGTCCCCAAACTACGGCCTGCGGGCCGCATGCAGCCCCCTGTGGCCATTTATCTGGCCCCCCGCCGCACTTCAGGAAGGGGCACCTCTTTCATTGGTGGTCAGTGAGAGGAGCACAGTATGTGGCGGCCCTCCAACAGTCTGAGGGACAGTGAACTGGCCCCCAGTGTAAAAAGTTTGGGGATGCCTGGTCTAGATGATGGCGCTGACATAGGGGCCCTAATGCAACACGACCAGCGTCCTAAAAACACTGCCATGTGAAGAGAAAGACAGAGAAAGAAGACACGACGATACTGGGGGGGCAGGGGGCTGTCTACAGGAAACACCAAAGACAACCAGCAGACATCAGGAGACAGGCCCGGGACAGGTTTCCCACTGCAGCCTTAGGAGCCAGCCCTGCCAGCACGTTCCTCTCAGACCTCTGGCCTCCAAAACCGTGTGACAGCACCTCTCTGCTGTCTAAGCCATCCGTTCTGCAGAACTCAGTTACAGCAGCCCTAGCTGATTCCCACTGCCGATGAACCTGTAAGGGGCCCAACCTGGGTTTCCAGTAGGATAGAAGCTCTCCAAAGACACCTCCAGATGACCTGCCAGAATTCACCGAACCACTGAAACACAGCAACAGTGCTTCGACGCTTTCTTCTGATGTATCAAGACTCTGAGGGTAGGGCTGAGTGTGGTAGCTCAGACCTGTAACCTCTGCACTGGGAGGCCGAAGCTGGAGGATCACCTGAGGTCTGGAGTTCCCTGGACAACACGGTGAAACCCCGTCTCTACTAAAAATACAAAAATTAGCTGGGCAAGGTGGTGTGTGCCTGTAATCGCAGCTACTTGAAAGGCTGAGACAGGAGAATCGCTTGAACCTGGGAGGTGGAGGTTGCAGTGAGCTGAGTATGCACCACTGCACTCCAGCCTGGGTGACAAAGCGAGACTCTGTCTCAAAAAAAAAAAAAAAAAAAAAAGCTCTAAGGGTAAAAGCTGCAGAACCCCGCACAGCACAGGGAGAAACTGACTAGGAGAGACGCTTCCAGGAAACAGGACTGGCAAGGGCTACCTCAGATACAAAAGGACCCTGCAGTCACCAAGGAAGCCAGAACTGCTTGCCACCTGGTGTCGAAGAGTTTGCCAGCAGTGCTGTGTGCGAGCCGTGACGACAGCCCCTCCCTGCCACCAGCAGCCAGCTGGAGAGCCCTGCAGAGGGCAGGTCAGGCATGGGCCAGTGCAGGCGGGATGCCGATGGCTGCTGGGCTGCGTCTGTGTTAAGCCAGAGCCATGTGAACAGATCCTTGTTTTCTGCCACTCACGTGACTCCCAGTCCTGAACCAGAAGATGGCAGGAGAGTGGGTACAAGACTGTGGGCGCCACGGGCCAGGCAGCCGGACCTGGGAATGCCAATTCCGGCTTGTGACCTGGAACAAGTGATTTATTTGTGAGAGCGGGCAGAGCCCACCTCCTGTGCTGCGGCTGTGATAGAGGAGTGTGTCCACAGTGGGGACAGTGGTCCACTGAGGCAGCTCATCAGGGACTCTGCGGGTATGAGGGGAAGAAAGTGCAGAAAGAGGGCAGAGGACAGAGGGAACAGGCGCGAGTGTGTGCAGGGTGAGAGGGAGCCCAGCCACGCGGGGCTCTGGGGCCCAGCTCTCCGCTGAACTGTCCACGCTGTGTTCAATTCTGCCTTGGTGAGGGCCACCAGACACTGAGAAGACCCTGCCCTTTTCAGTTTACACAGAAGTAGAAAAGAAGGGGAATTCAGTGGGTGAAAGGCAAAGACAGAGTATCCCACATTCACAGCTAGCCCTGCAGATGATTCCCAACCTGGATGGGGTATGTTCCCCACTCCTGTCCATACTGAAGCCATGGGAACTGACCACAGGCACGAGGTGCTTTCCCCTAGTGTTGCTCACCCCTGCCCAGGGCTCTCAGTCTGGGCCTCTGCCCCAACTGAAGACAGGCTCAAGAGAAAAGACTCGAGATGTGACATGTGGTTTCTATTTTAGATGGACAATTTCAGACATTGTTGGGACTAAGCTTGCTTTGGGTCTACAGAGTCAGTTCCATACGTGTCTGGATCAAGTAATCTTTCTCACGGGGCAGGGCAAACAGGCTCCCACTGTCCACTCCCACCTACCAGCTGAGTAGCCCGGGGGCTAAGAACGCCCCTCCCCACCTTAGGAGTAAGGACAGGATCCAGCCAGCTGCAGCAAACCCACCCACAAATGGGAGACTACGCTAATACTCCACTTCCTGCCTGACAGCACCCACAGCCAAACAGCACACATGACTGTGGTTAGTGGCAGTGTGTACCTGCTGTCACCAACCAGGGATTCCGTGGACAGTGAGCCATTATTCAGGAAGCATGCCTATGAGAAAGTGCTGGCTTGCTAAGTCCCAACGGGGTACCAGGGGCGGCTCAAAGACCAGGACAGAAAGTGCGGACCAGAGCCAGATACAGAGCAGGTCATCTGTGAGGTTCTGCTTTCCCTTAGAGAGGATTACTAACCACTAAAGTTGGGCCAAGCATCTATTACCACCATGTCCTGTTAGGCAATGCCCGATGGCACTGGGTCAGGGATCAAAGATGTGGGTGCTCTGGGCCCTTCCCCATATGGGTGACCCACTCGCCCCCTGTCATGGCTTGCTGGGGCTACAGGATCTTAGCAGCTCCAGGGACTGAAGTACTTACTCCACGAGGCCACACAGGGTACAGGCCACAGCGCCACAGCCCCAGCAGGTGCGTACACACCGCCCACACAGGGCTCGCTCACACTGGCCGCAGATCGCCTTCCCATCCACGGCTCGCACACATGAGGAGCAGGCGATGGACACTACCCCGGATGGGTCTGTGAGGATGAAACGCCATGCTGTCAGCCTGGAAGGAGACTGGAGATTCCGGGACTGCAGGGCTACCTGCCTCCACGCACACTTGAGGACAGAGGGCTCTGACCTGCCTACCCCATCCCCACCTACACTAGATCCTTCCGACAACCCGTGAGCCTGGTACAGCACACAGGACCCCCATTTTACTAGAGAGAGATCCACAGTGAGATGCCTGTAGGTGACTCCAAGTTCAGTGCTCCTTCCCTTACCAGGTCCCTCTGCTACCTGGAGAGGCCAGTGCTGGAAGGATCGCTCTTCCCCTGTTCTTGTCAGAACGCCATGTATCCCACCTGGGTCTCAGTGTGGCCCACTACCTCCCTGGTTAACAAAGAGGTGCCTGGGCTCCTCCCAGACACACCAAGCAGACTTGCAGGCAGGGTCGGGGACTGCCTTTCTAACAGGCAACACAGGTGATGGTGTGAGACCCACACTGCACAGGGATGGGACCGGCGTGTTTCCAGCCATGTGGGACTATCTGAGAGGGCTGCAGGCAAAAGCAGATTCGATACCCAGGGAGTCTGCTGCTTTTCTGGTCCAGTAGTTACATGCTGTTTAACAACTGCCAGTCTTGGATGTGAAACCTCCCGATAATAGGAACCTTCTGAGCCAGAAGGCCAAGCTCTGGGTCAGACTCCTGCTTGCCCAGGGAGGAAAAGCCTGAGCTTCCAAATGAAGAAAAAATGCTTATGCTGCCACCTGCCCTCAGTGCCACAGCCACGAAGGGCTGCCAGTGCCACTCACCAGCTTCAGAGGCCTGCCCAAGGCTCCTGATCAGGCGGCCATCTGGTCCAATCAGCATCTGCCCACGTGCAGCCCTTGGGGCCCCTGTAGGGCCAGGCTTTGGCGACTCTGGTAGGTGAACAACGGTACAGCCTTCATCCCATACACGGTCCAGGTAGGCCTGGGCCCCGAGGAAGAGCAGTCGCTTGGTCTTCTCTGGGGAAGACAAATCATTCTCATGTCCTTCACTGTGTACCAACAGAGCCTCTGCATGGCCACTGAGTCTTTCCAGCCTCACATGGACCCCTTCATCCTATTGTGTGCCCTCTGTCACCCAGTAATTCATGCTGTGTCCTGGCAAGCTGGGTCTTGCTCTGCCTCTACACTGAGATGCTCGTGCCTCCTTTCCTTACCTGGCTTAGCTGTCATCTACTCCAGAGGACTCTGGCCCTGCAGCCCCACCTGTGTCCGATGCAAGGGTACCCTCTTCTACCGCTCTGCTCAATTTCTGCAATTCACAGCCGGCCTTGCCTCACTGAACTTGTTCCCCTTCCTCCCTTTCCTACTTCCCCAGCACTCCCTACCCGGAAAGCAGTCTCTGTGGAATGCACAGAGGAAGCTCTGCACTGTGGAACACTAATTCACAAATCTCGCCCCCTGCCTAGGAAGCAGCCAGAGGCTTGGAGCTGGGCCTGCAACCTCCGGCCAGCGCACACCCCCTCCACCTGCTACAGAGTTGCTGGCAAGACAAGCATCCCAGAACCTTCCAGACCTCTTAGTGTAGAACACACCCTCATCCCTGGGAGCGGAAGTGGCTGCTCAGGATCCAGAGCAGTGGTTTTCCATCAGGCCACAGTTCAGGCACCTCGGGAGCTTGGAAAACTCAGATGCCCAGGGCCAGACCCAGAAATGCTTTGTTTTGCACCTCATCGTCACACAGTTAAAGGCAGAGATCCCAGAAACTCTATGTGGCTCTACATGAAATGGGCAGCAATAACAGAGACAGGGTAACTAAAATGGAGTGGCTGATGACAGCCCATAGCACCCATCACCTCCTCCTCCTGGCCCCCCACACCTTTCCCATCTATAATAAGAAGGGAATGGGAGGTGGTGAGGCTAACCTTGGTCCTCAAGGCCTTGTGCATGATTCAAGGTTAAGAGATCAGGGTGACAGCTGTGGCCTGGAATTTGGAAATTGACACACAGTTCAAAGTACGTGTCCTGCACTTACCTTGGAAGGCTCACTGCACCCAGCAGGTGTCCCTAACCCGACCCTGTGAGTGGCACACATCTGCCAATGCCCCGGTCAGGGCACTCGGGAGAGTAAAGAGCTAGACTGACCCAGGCGCCATTTCCATGTTCCTCTCGACTGCACGGTTTGAATTTTTCAACTGTCCCGAGAGAGGGCACAGGCTTGTGGTCCAGCCACAGTTCCCACTGCATTATTCCCCTTACCTCCGCGTGGCCGGAGACAGCGCTCCCATTCACAGCTGCAGCACACCGGAAACCAGGCATAGAGGAGCCTCAGGAGGGGAAGTCTTTCCCTCACCCCCAAGGCACAAGCAGTACCACGAAAATCACACACCTCCAATCACTCTCTAATTGCTCTACAGGGGCAGACCTCGTGCCCCAACCACTAGGCAAGGTAAGTGCCACTTCGTACCTGCCCCAGGGTATTAATCACCCTAGTGATTAATGATCACTGATGATTAAGATCATTTTCCTCGATGATCAAGAACGCCTTGAGCACGCCTGAAATCTACAGGAGAAAGCCAGAGAAGGCCTGGGAGCTCACTGCACCCCCCATCCCACCCAGAGCTGGACCTGCCAGCCACACGGAGTCCTGTTACGCTCTCCTGCTGCCTGGTCTGTGCCTCGGCTGACCCCTCTGCCTGGCTACCTCCTACTCCTCCCACAGGGTGCGGCTCGGACTGTTCTTCCAGGAGGCCTCTGTGCCATCCCTGCAGGTGCGCCTGCTTTGTGCCTGTGCTGATCACCTGCGGTGAGCCCTCCTCCTGCTGGTCTCCCCCACTAGGCTGGGGAGCTCCCGGGAGGCCGGGGCACATCTGCCTCGTCTGCCTCTGGTCTCCCCGGGCAGCCGCAGCGCCTGGCAGGAGGTGGGGGGGGGGGGCGCTCCAAGACTACGTCTCGGGTCAGGAGGGGCACTCTTCGGGCTGACGCCCTGCAGGACGCCCGGCTCCCGCCCTCTCCCAGGGCATCCAGCACGGGACAGCCCTGAGGAAGCGCCAGGCAGGTGCCGCTGACCGCGGGGCGGCGACTAACCGGGCTCGCGGAGGAGCGCGCGGCGGCTGAGGACGGAGCCCCTCTACTTTCAGGCCGACGGACAGGGTGGGCGAACGCTGAGGTCCTCACATCCCCCTCGCCGACCCCAGCCCTGGTCGTGGGCAGCCTGTGTCCCCGGGGCCGCCCAGCTTCCGAAAACGCGGGATCGGGAAGCAGGGCCCTCGGGACCCCCGCTCAGGCCTCAGACGGGACGCCGAGGCCAGGCCCGTGCCAGGCCCGACGCCGCGGACCCTCAGCAGTCCGCCCGGCACTCACCGAAGACCTCCTGCGAGTAGCGCTCAGCGCACACGCCGCGGCTCAGCTCCCTCTGGCCCACGCGCACCTTGAGCTGCAGCGGGGCCGCGTCCGCGAAGGGGCAGCCCCGCTTGGGCATCGCCGCGGGCCGGGAGCTACGCAGCTCCGCGGCCGCCAGCCCCTGACCGCCGACGCCGTAACGTCACAGCCGCGCGCCCATCCGCGGGCGTGAGCGAGTTTGAGGGCGAGGGAGCGACGCGCCGCGTGATAGGCTGCGAGCGAGGCAGGAGGCGGGGCTCTTGCGCAGAGCGGCGCGGGATAGGCCGAGGGTGAGATCGGGGGTGGGCCTCGTGCGTCGGTGATCAGCACTGCGAGGCGCGGGAAAGGCCCAGGGGCCAGGTTGAGGCTCAGAGTGGGCGGGTCCATAGGAGGGATTTGTGCGCACGCGGCTCAGAATAGGCCGGAGGAGAGACTAGGGGCGGGGTTCCTGTGCGGCGCGAAGCGAGGCAGCCTGGGAGACAGGTCAGGGGCGGGATTCTGCCGTGCGGGAAGAGCCAGGGGGAGAGGCTGAGGGTCAGGACGGAGCCGAGAAGTCGAGTAAGGGGCGGAGCTTCCGCATCGGGGGCGGGCCTCGTTTGAGGATCGGCGTGGGATAGGCCAGGGCGGTGTCGGGGGCGGGTCTAGATTGAGGAGCGGCGCGGGATAGGCCAGAGCGACGTCGGGGGCGGGCCGGGTAGATGGCGGGATTCCTGTCAGCTTTTGTCTGGTAACTAAACAGGTGGACACTGGTCAAATGTCCTCATCTGCTTCCCGGAAGTTCGGGGCGGCCCGCTTTTTCCTGGTGTTTTCCTTTTAGAGACAGGGTCTCGCTCTGTCACCCAGACTGGACTGCAGCGGCAAAGTCTCGGCTCACTGCGGCCTCCGCCTTCCGGGCTCGGGCGATCTTCCCGCCTCGGCCTCCCGGTAGCGGGGCCCGCAGGCGCGCCCGGCTGATGTTTGCTTTGGGGTAGGAGCGGGGTCTTGCCGTGTTGTCCCGGCCGGTCTGGCCGCTCGCGTGGCGGTCCCCGCCTTCCGGAAGTAAAGGCGTGAGGGCGGCTCCCGAGCGCTCCCGGGCGCCGGTGTGTGTGTGCCCCGCTGTGTGGCGGATGGTGTCGCGCAGCGGGTCCGTCCCACTCGGGGTCCCCAGGCCGCGCCCGCGCTGTCCCTCGTCAGGGGTTCCGCTCACCGGCGCCGCCCTGCTCTGCGCTGCCCCGGCGGGGGCCGGACCGCCGCGTCCCGGGGCGTGGGTTTCGCGCGGGGCCGTGTGCTCGCGGCTCCGTCTGCGCCGCCCCCGGGGTGAGGAGCTGACGCCTGCCCCCGCGACACCCGCCCCCGCGACACCCGCCCCGCGGGACACCCGACCCCGCGGGACACCCGTCCCCGTGACACCCGCCCCCGCGTGACACCCGCGTCGCAGCTGCGCAGACCCGGTCGGAGGCTGCGCACTCCCTCCTGGCCGCGAGCGCCGGCCTCCGAGTCAGAGGGCCTCTGCCTTCTCCTGCCACGCGGGGTTCCACGCGGGGGTCCCCGCGGCGGGGGCCGGGAGGCTGTGTCAGGACGCAATCCGGCGGCCTCGGCGCTTCCTGGCCACCTGGAATTTGTTCTGTTTTGGGGAAATGACCTGAAAGTTGCTCCGTTGGGGTCACTTCTGACCAAACGCACGTTTGGGCTATCCCGGAAATGGATGAAGAGGATTGTTTCAAACGTTTCAGGCCGTGAGGGTTTCTAAAGACGCCCCTGTGCCCGCATGGAAAGCGCCCTTGTCATCAGCATCGTGTTCGGACGCGGAACACCCGGCAGCTCGTGGAGCGGGGCCGTCCCCCAGGCCGCGTGGTGCGTGGAACCCGAATTACTGGCCTGGCTGTCTGCACTGATGCAGCGCTCAGAGCCAGAGCCTCTGGTCTGGTCCACGTGGAAGTGACTGAACTGGTGCTAGGGAGCAGTCCTTCCCCCCGCGGGCGTCTGCTTACCCCAGGGAATTCCTGCAGACCCCCCACGCCCTGCCTGCATGCTTCCATCCTGAGATGGAGGGAAAACCGTGACACTCGTGTTCCAGTGGAGACTCAGCAGCTACTGCAAAACCGAGGTGTGAAGCCCTATTGTGAAGCCCTCAAATTTCAGCGTAAATGGTTTGACTGCAAGGGCCCTGCGTAGGTGTGAGGGCAGAGAGGAGATAGCCCTCAGCCCCTCTCCCCCGGAGCTTACCCTGCCTCGGGGGCTCCCCTTTTGTCCCTCTTGCTATGTCAGGAACGGTGACTGTGTTGCTGTGCCGTGGTCTGGGGCAGGGCCATGCAGTTGCACCGTGTGCTTCCGGTCGTTCACGTCACTGAGGGCCGTTCCTGGCACCGTCTTGAAAAGTTTGCTTGCATCCCTGGAGTCACAGGAGTCTCATAACCCAGCCCTGCCGCTGGGCCCCTGCCTGTTGAACCTAACCCCGCCAGACTGGTCCCTCTGTAGGATCCCCTGTCTTTGAAAGCATGCTGCAAGGGTGGCTGTTTCTCTAAACTGACTCCAGACTCTGAAGATACTTAAGGAGACTCCGCGTTGTTCTGGTGAGCACCGGCCACAGGCAGCTCCGTGCAGCTGCGGTCAGGTCAGAGGCGGTGCAGCCGATCCAATGAAATTCTGAGGGTGCTGACCAAGTGTGTCCAACTAGAGTGAAGAGGGCTGGCAGGGCTCTGTCATCGTGGGGGCAGGGAGTCAGTTCTGGGTTAACCCACGTGGGACCTGCCCGGGTCACAGCGCTACGGTGTCATTTGCTTAATGTGTTTTGTTTTTAAAAACATATTTAATGCACTTGGTCTCTTTTATGGGCTTGTTCTATTTAATTTTCCAAGTAAACACAAGGCTTGGCTTTGTGACCTCAAGATCCTCTAGATTCCTGTCATGGTGAAGTGTTGTATTTCAGTGTCTCAAAGCAACAAAGACAAAGTCAAATCAATCATGTAATGACCACTTCATTCAGTGGCCATTGGAGATGTTTATTATGACACTGCTCCGGCTGGACACGCAACCATGTGACACTAACGTGTCATAGAAGGTCTCTGCTTTGAGTATTTTGGCTCATTTTAAATAGCAGAATTTTAAAAAATATACACAAGGCTGGCTTTCCAATGTTTAAAATCATTGTAGAAACCACCAGGTTGAACAGAAATCTAAAAGTTCAGAAAATGGTTTTCCTGCTTTGGTGTTGTTATGACGGCCGAGGAATGTGATTGCCGCTGTTTACACAAGTCCAGATGCTGCCAGGGACAGTTGGGATCAGCTGTCTGTGACTAAAACAGCTGAATCATTGACTCTCTTGACTTGCCAACACCAACCCATTTGACTGAAAGAGCGAAAAGACTGTTACGATGCACATTGGGGCTGAAAGTTCAGGGAAGGTGTTCTTGAGTGTCATGTCCCCCTGCAGCTCATCTGGTAGAAGGGGCTGTTTCTCTCCAGATGGAGATGGTTCTCATTTTTAAGTTATAAAGGTAGCACATGTAGGGGACTGATCCTCCTGCAGCCGAAAACAGGAGTCTCTTCCCTTCTCCCTCCCTCCTGCCCCTTGGAAATGGCAGCCTTAGTTACTTAGTGACTCTCGCTGGGGGCCCTTTCTCTGTCGGTGCAAATGCCCCTGGGCTGTGAGAGTAAACACACGGATGATATACTCAAATGGCCGGGCTGTGTGCCACCTATGGTTCTGGATGCTAAGAGGCCAGGGTTCCTGGCAATGTCACATGCACACCCTACCCGGGAGCAGCACTGCCCCGAGTCCTCCTCCCCTCTTGCCAACCAGTATATTCACTTGGTGACCACACCTGGCTTTCTTGTTGCTTGCCAAGCCCTGTGCCCTGTGGTCCCTTGGAGCATGCAGGGTGCAGGGAGGGTGGCTGGGGAGGCAAGGCACCCACCTGCGACTCCCACGTGATTCTCCACAAATCGGATGTAGTTCTGGGCCTGCGGGGGCAGGTCCTCCCATCTCCTGGCGCCTGTGGTGTCTGCTTTCCAGCCAGGCAGCGTTTCATATTCGACTTCAACCTTCTGAAGCATCTCCTGGTTAGCTGGGGAAGCACACAGGAGATGAGCGGGGCCCACAGACCTCTCTCCTGTCGCCAGGGAAGCAAATATTTGGTGACACAGCCACCCCCTTGCCCAGGGACTCAGCAGCGGGGAAGGCAGCAAGTAGACAGGTGGCCCAGTTTGATTTTTCTCAGTGTTGGATGATGAGCAGGGGACAGCAGTGAGACTCAGACACTGACTACAAGCCTTCCAGACCAGGGGACATGACACATAATGTGCTGCCCATTCTGCCAGAACCTCCACTGTGCCATCAACTGAGGCACTCCAAGCTTTGGCTGGGAATTTCTAAGAGACTCTAGAATCCTGAAGCACTAAGGGATCCTGAAGCATCTATGTCCTCCCACTCCAAGAGCATCAGCTCCCAGATGAGGGATCAGCCAGGGACCCCCGCTCCATGCGGGACTCTGTGGCTCACAGTAGAAGCCAATCACCCTTACCAAAGGAAGATGCTGGAATACGGGTTCTCGCTGCAAGTGTTTCTGCGTCTCAGAGGCAGGTGGTGTTTGCATGCCCCTCCCCCCAAGACCCTGGACCACCATGAGGAGACCTTGCAGGCCTCAGAAGTGCATCCTCTCAAAGGTCAAGGGTCAGGAGGGTAGGGACACTGCCTGCAAGGACACAGATGGCTCCCGTAGCCAGTGGCCCTCTGTGGTCTACACAGATCTGCCGAGTGGAGAGCAGCCGGGCAGCTCACCCAGGGCGCTGGGGAAAAAGCCGTTGTGGGGAGCAGGGTTAGGACATGACCCTGGACGGAGGTCGAGGGGGCACATCAGATGCACATGACACAGAAATCCAGGAAAACGGCATCTCCTTCATGCTTTCCAGAAGGTGCACAGGAGCAGGGATCCCGGTTAGGTCTTAAAAATCTCACCACAAAGCACATTTTCTCAGATGAAATAGTTGTCCTGTACATCTGCATAGAGCTTTAGGTTTTCCAGAACCGACCACATCCGCTAACTCCTATGCGCCTCCTGTGGCCCTGCCTACCTTTTCCCCAAGGCAGCTGAAGGTCCCCCGGGGTCCCAGGCAAGTCGTCTGTCCCCCTGAGCCATTCCTGAACCACTGGAAGGCACCTGCAGCCACCCTGAGGCCCGGCCAGGCCTCCTGGGGAATGTCGCGGGGAGAAGCCCGGGAGGTGAGGAAGCCATGATGCAGGCTGGTCACCGGAGACAGCTGCTTGCCCTGTGTCCTATGAATGTGAGAACTCACCTCTCACCTCTGAGGAATCACAGGTCCTGTCTATTCCAACGCCCGTGAAAAGGCCCAACAGGCAGAACTGCTGCCCCGCTTCACATACCTGGGAAATAGGGAATCCTTTTCCCGTTCAGCTTGTATGAGACGCCGACTTTAATCTCGCCCAGCACGTCCAGGATGTCCAGCTTCGTCAGGGCCAGCCTGTGGAAAGCCAAGGGGCCAGGTGAACCCAAAAAGGGACCAGCAATGCTGGGGTCTCTTCCATTCAGTCTTCCTGTTATTTATAGTAGGGTCCCCAGTCCCTGGGCTGCGGACCGGTACTAGCTGGTGGCCTGTTGGAACTGGGCTGCACAGCAGATGGGTGGTGGGCCAGTTGGCGCTACGGCCTGAGCCCCACCTCCTATGAGACCAGGGACCCGAACCCTGCTGTGAACTGTGAGGGATCTAGGCTGCGTGCTGCTTATGCGACTCTAATGCCTGATGATCTGAGGTGGGACAGTTTCAGCCCGAAACCGTCTACTGCCATACCCCTGCCAACCGCTCAGTCCATGGGAAAATCATCTTCCACAAAACTGGTCCCTGGTGCCAAAAAGGTCAGGGACTGCTGATTTACACTGAGAAGAAAAGAAAGATTAAGTGATCACAAAAAAGTGCCGTCGGCAAACATGCCAGAGGGTGGGAGCTTCTGCTCGAGCCCTGCACCTCGTCTCTGCCCTTTCAAGTCCCCAAGGGTGCCCTGCTCCCACAGGCTCCACTTTCTCCCCTCCCATCCCCACACATGGTGGCTGCTGCTCGCCTGCGGCTCCGGCTGCACTTTCCCCACAGCACGGCCATGTTTAGGGTCCCAGCGCTACCCTGTGTCCAGCCCGTGAGCATGGCACCCTTGTCCTAGTCATCCCCCGCCCACCCACCCGCCAGTGCCAGTGATGGCAGCCTGGTCCAGCTTCGGTTCCAGGCCCTGTGCCAAGGGCTCTGTTTTTCCTTCTCTCCTTTTGTTTTCCTCCTTCCTGGGGCAAGGTGTGAAGGGGCTCCATGCAGCAGCTATGGATGGGTCTCCTGAGCACTGCTGGCCCTGCCTCTCCTCCATGCTGGCCCTAGCACAGCACGTGATGAGGCTGGCGCCATGATCCCTGCTTTGCACACAAGGAGAGCGAGGGTCAGGGACCCCGGACACCACACCCTCAGGTACTTGATTCCTCTGCTTCCTGTTGCTGGGTTGGCTCCATGCCCACCCAGGAGGGTTCTGAGTAACTCTCCAGGAATTCTGTCTGACGCTGTCAACCTGGTGAAGGATGTGCGACTCCCAGCCTTGGCCTGTCTGACTGAGCTGCAGAGGAAGCCGTGACCCCACCCGTCACACACAGCATCTCTCTGATCCCTGGGAGACAGCCTGAACAGCTGGGCAGCCCGGGTCCATGTGTGGGAAGCAGAGGGGCCTGCAGAGTGGACGGGACAGGCCGGCGCTGGTGCTCCTGTCCTCTAGCAGGATGGCAGTGCACCCTTTGTCCTGGGCACCTCCGGTCTCCACAGAAACCATTTTAACCTCTTACAAGTGCCGGGACGCCCTCATCTTTCACGGCGTCAGTCCTGGGGTGGGCGTTCGTGACACCTTCCTGTGCTCCCAGGGCTGGCTCCACCACACCCTGCGGGCCTCCACACTGCTAAACCCTGGGCCGTGGTTTGTGGAAGGGTTGCGATCAGTGGGAGACCTCGTCCAAGGAGACGTGGTGGCCCTCAGCCCGTGTCAAGCGCAGCTTGCCTCCGCAGGTGTGGGAGTCAGGGGCGGTCCCGGTGGGGATGGCGGCGGCCCGGGTTGCTTACGCAGTGAATCCATTGACCATGTGAGCGTATCTCAGAATCATCAGGTCGAGCCAGCCACAGCGCCTCTTCCTGCCTGTGGTCACCCCCCACTCGTGGCCGCGGCTCTGCAGCAGGTCTCCGATCTCCTACACGAGAACGGGGCGGGGTCAGGCGGGCTGTGATGGGAGCCATGTGCTGCCTGGCCCTGTGGCTGCCCCTCCTTCTCTCACGTGGCTCTCGGGAATCTCTGAGGCTGCCCGCCTCTGCCAACAGTCCTCATGTCCAGCTCCCTGACATCCCCACGCCCCTGGTAAGCCCGTCCGGCAGTTAAAGCTCACACCCAGCAGGGCCCACCAGTTCCACTAGTGCCACCCAAGCCAGCAAGTGGTCTTCCTGAGCATACCAGACCACTAGGCTTTGTGAGCTGGGGAAGGCACAGGGCAGCCTTGCTGTCTTCCCCTCCTGCCACAGGCAGCTAGGAGAGGGGGGCTGGCCCTGCAGCTTGGCTTTGGGGGTCAGGGGTGTGTGTATCTCCTGACATCGATCTGTGCACCCCTTCAGTCCTCTCTGGATGGTGTCCGCCGCTCCCCGTGTTAGATCTCCCAGCACCTGCCTTTCCTCCTGCTCAGGCACGACGGCCATGTCCTTGCCCTACCAAGGGTCACAGGGTGACGCTGAGAGAGGAAGGCTGGGGCCTCCTGAGGATTCTGGGGTCACAAAAGCTTCCAGAAACCTTCCTGAGGCTGGAGGGCTGGGCAGGGTTGCGGGGGTTGGCTTTCAGCCCCAATTCTAGCTTGGTTGTGACAGAAGACCCCCCCCCAACCTGGGGACAAGGGTGAGGGAAGGTGCTTAGTGTCCTCTCTGAGCCAAGGTGAGTCCGCCAGCTATCCCAAATGAAGGTGTCCTGAGGAGCTGCAAGTAGCCCCCACTCGCCCGTGGGCCTCACACACTCAGGGGAACAAGGTCACGTGTACGTGTGAGCATGCGCACACCCTGCATAAGCTCACATGCTGCTGTGGGAATAGGCCAGCCTCCAGCCCTCTTACTAAGCCCCACCCTGGCCTTTGCAGCAGGAAGGGGCCTGCTGGGAGATGGGGAATGGCACTGGCCAGGTCCCCACAGCCCCCACCCTGGCACTGCTCACCCCACCCCTGGCACCCCCGCCTGGCCTCCATGTCCTCCCATGGGGTCCTGAGGGGCTGGGACTCACATTGATCTGCTCGGTGGGGAAGGCCCCGATGCCCACACGTGTGGTGTAGGCCTTGACCACGCCATACACGTCACCTATGTTCTGTGGGGGGATACCCAGGCCTGTGCACACGCCACCCACTGTGCAGTTGGATGAAGTCACAAAGGGGTAGGTCCCTGCAAGACAGACCAGGTTACACGGCTACCTGTCACCCCCTGTAGATTACTCCACCCGGCCCAAGAGGCCTTCTCAGTAAAGGGAAGGGGCAGTTCAAACCCGCTGTACGTCCCTTCTGTGGGGGGTCTCAGCCTGGCCCGTCCTTGGGGAATGGCCAAATGGGGTGCTGTGTGCTGGGCCATGTGGCTCACGTATGAGTCTGGGGGGTAAGGGGAGGAAGCTGCCCACAGCGAGGCCTGAGGTGGCCAGGCCACCTAGGTGGTGAGGGTAAGCTGGTACGCCCGTGGAGGTGAGGACGGATGGCTATATAGACTGGTGGTGAGGAAGGGCTGGCTCTGAGCCACCTTGCCTGGCTCCCTGGCCCCATCCCTGACCTCCTCACCCTGTCCTTTCATCTCTAGCCTGGCCCTTTCTGCTCTCCCTCCCTTGCTAACAATAGGAACACTAAGGACAGGAAGGTGGGCCTGCCCGTCACTCCCCCATCCGTGCCCACAGCTCTCAGAAGCTGAATCTTCCCTGGCAGGCATGAAAGGTTGCTGGCACGCACACGCTGCCGGACATACCGAAGTCAATGTCGAGGAGGGCAGCATTGGCACCCTCCACCAGGATCTTCTTGGGGGGGCCGTGGAGTGCCTCATACATAAAGTAAACACCGTCTCGGACCATGGGTCTGATCCGCTCAGCAAAGCCCTGCAAGGACCAAGCGGCAGAATGAGCCTGTGGCCTCGGGCAGAGGAGGCCCGTGGTCCCCAAGAAGGTTGGCCAGCCCATAACAATGCCTAGTAACGGTGCCCTAGGCAGGACTGCTGGCCTCCCTGGAGGGGCACTTCTGTAGCCCCCACGCTGCGGCCCCGGCTTCACCTTGAGCCTTTTGAGCTGGCCTTCAACGTCTATTTCCAGGGTGGGGAACATCGACTGGTGCTGGTGGGCCAGGTTCTTGAATCTGCACAAGGGACAGTTACTGTCACCCCCTCTCATGCTCCATGCTGGCCCTGAGGGCCCTCCTCACTAGCCACAGTCCCTTCCGGCAACCTGGCCCCATCCTCCCAGGACCGAAGACGGCTCAGGTACCTGGAGGAAAACTCATCAAAATCTGACAGGAGGTCACAGATGCGGAGGCCTGTCCGGGCCGCTTTGGATGAGTAGGTTGGTCCAATTCCCTTCTTGGTGGTACCTATACTGAAAGATGGGGAGTGGGTGCCCGTGAGAACCCAGGAGCCCCAAGGAGCTCAGGCATCCCACTGACCCTGCCCAGCAGCCTGTGGGGCCCAGGCCGGCCCCCTTCAGATCCCAGGGTCTGCCCTATGGATATAGGGTTGAGTGAGGTTACATCAGAGGGTCCGTCCTGGCACCAGTGCCCAGGAGTCTGGGAGGCTGCCACTGGGTGGGCTCCTCCAACAGCCAGTTTCCAGGGTCACCAGGGCTAGCAGGGTGGCAGACTGCCTGGAGCCCCATCCCTCACCACCCTCGTTCCCCCAGCTGTGCCCTCTCTATCTTCCTGCTGTCCTGTGCATATTCTGCCTCAGTTTTCCTCTTCAGGCCCAGCACTGAGGCTGTTGCTCTCAGGACCCGTCAGCTGCTGTGTCTGCCTGCACTGGGAGCCATGGCTGTGCCATCCTGAACTCCACTGTTTGCCACGGCCCCCGCCAGCACAGTGACTCCAGTGCTCACCATTGCCACCTGTGTCTGGCTGAGCTGTGAGTGTGTGCACGTGTGTGGATGTGTGCACATGGAGTGTGTGCACGTGTGTGAGTGTGTGCACGTGTGGATGTGTGCACTTTGGTGCATGTGCATGGGTGTGTGGGCTGGTGTGGTGCGAGCATGTGTGTGCATGTGGTGTGTAAGAGCATGAGTGTGTGCCTGTGCATGTCTGAGAGTGAGTGGTAAGTGTGTGACCATCAGCGTGTGACCTCTGAGGCAGGCACCATCTGCTTCACTCCTGTGTCCCTGGCACGTCTGAGGTTCTACTAAACCTTTTTAGTGTTCCTCGTGTCTTCCTGGGGTGATGACACAGCTTATGCACTCCTTGGGGGGCTGCGTGGCAGTGGCAGCCGGTAAGGACAATGTGCAGTTCCAGAGAGAGACAGGCTGGCTCACTGGGGGGTGTGGTCATGCACTGCGGACTTTTGACAAGTGCTGTTCTCCAGGGGCTTTGAGTGGGTTGAGGTACCCTCCTTGTCATGCCCACAACCAGGAACGACCCGCAGTCTACCAGCTTGCCGGCCCTGAAGACTCCCCGAGGGCGAGAGTGTCCCGGCACACTTACTTCTTCCCCTCTTGTGCCTGGCGCTGCACTTCCTGAAGTCCGTCCACGGCCTGGTGAAAATCAAACACTGTGGGGCGGGCCAGGTGAGGACACCAGGGAACAGGAGAGAAGCAGAGGACAGAGGTTTACACAGGGACCTCACCTCCTGCGGGCCTGAGTCTCCCAGGAAGAGGGTGGTCGAGATTTCAGAGGACAAACTGGGGTGTGACCCTGAGTGTGCAGGGCTGTTTCCCCATCTGCAAATGGGCTAGTGATCCCTGACCCAGCTCCCACCTTGAAGCTCTTTAAAAAGGATAACGTACAAGCTAATGCAGCCGCGTGGAAGAAGGACTTGGGGCCAGCCAGGCCTTCCCCTCCATGGCCATCTGAGCTTGGTGGCCATGGAGGGGCAGGGCTGGTCGGTTGTGGTGGGGTCCCCTGTACCCCAGTGGGAAACGTACCAAGGTGGGCTCTGTCAGAGATGATGAGCCTCTTCTCCCAGTCCTTCAGGCCTGCAGGGACATGGCATGCAGGAGGGTCAGTGTTGACAGGTGTGCTGCTGCTCACAGGTGAGGGGACAGAGCTGGGCTAGCTCGCCCGGTTCCCATCTGGGTAAGTCACGTGGGGAGGAGGCCGACAGGGCCACCTCTGCTACGCAGCAGGCAGCAGGCCCACCCCTGGTTGCCTCCTCCCCAGCTGAGGCTCCGGGACCCTCACCCCCCTGGAATACCCACTCTCTTGCCTGCAGGCTTCAGCCACTGCAAGCTAGGAAGCCAGAACTGGTGTGAGTGTCGGGCCTTCCTCCGCACCTACAGCCACTCTGAAGGTGATCTGCTCCCTCAGGGCTTCAGTCTGGGTATCCCCGGATGCCCATGTCCCCAGAATCACATTCTCCTTGCTCTTTTCACCCCCGCCACGCCCCTTGAGCCTGAGGCTGCAGTTCATCATCCTCCTGTCTGTCCCTACCCTCACTGGGTCTGACTTGCCCACACCCCGAACTGGCGGGTCTCGCTCATGGCCTGTCAGCCTCTGCATGCCTGGCCAGATGCTCCTCGGAGCCCTCAGGAGCCACTTCCTTCCCTGCACAGAGTTCGCCCAGCAGTTCCCGCTTCCTGCTGGATGTCTGGGCCCAGGTCCCTGGCTCCTTTCCGGACTTCCTGACCTGAGGCTGCAGGTGCTACCTGGCCCCGTGATGCCAAGGCTACCAGCGTCTGAGGCCTCTGGGTTGCCCAGCTCACTCGCTATCTGCATAGGTAGAGCCAGCAGGTGATGAGCTGGGCCAGCTGAGTTGGGAAGCCCCCTCCGCCAGTCCCCTCTGCACAGCACTGCTTAGAGGACCATGTCTGGACAGGGCAAGGATGCAGGACTTGGACCTACCTTTCTTCTCATTCTTCTCTGCTTCCTCAAACAAGCCTGGCAAGTGGATGACCACCCCGTTGCCTGCATGACAGACAGAGGCATGAGACAGAGTTGTGTCCCAGATATTGGAAAACGTACATTAAGAACAGCATGAAATGGGTGGGTGCCATGGCTCACTCCTATAATCCCAGCACTATGGCAGGCTGAGGCAGGTGGATCATCTGAGGTCAGGAGTTCAAGACCGGCCTGGCCAACATGGTGAAACCCCGTCTCTACTACAGATTCAAAAAATTAGCCAGGTGTGATGGTGCGCACCTGTAATCCCAGCCACTCAGGAGGCTGAGGCAGGAGAATCGCTTGAATCTGGGAGGCGGAGGTTGCAGTGAGCTGAGATCCTGCCACGGCACTCCAGCCTGGACAACAGAGCGAGACGTTGTCTCAAACAAACAAAGCAGCATGACGTGGGCACACCGGTGGTCCCAGCAGCATTATTCATAGTAGCCAAGAGCTGTCCATCGGCAGATGAAGGGTGAGCAGACTACGGTCTACCCATGCGACGGAGAAGCACTCAGGCTTAGAAAAGGAAGGGAATTCCACACAGGCTGCAACGTGGAGGGGCCGCGAAGACATTATGCTAAGTGAAATGAGGCAGCCCCGAAAGGACACAAGGATGATTCCAGTTATGTGAGGTCCCTGGAGGGGTCACATTCATAGAGATAGAAAGTAGAGGGCCGGGCGCGGTGACTCACGCCTGTAAATCCAGCACGTTGGGAGGCCGAGGCGGGCGGATCATGAGGTCAGGAGATCGAGACCATCCTGGCCAACATGGCGAAATCCCGTCTCTACTAAAAATGCAAAAATTAGCCGGGCGTAGTGATGCGTGCCTGTAGTCCCAGCTACCTAGGAGGCTAAGGCAGGAGAATAGCTTGAACCCGGGAGGTGGAGGATACAGTGAACTGAGATCACACCACTGCACTCCGGCCTGGGTGACAGAGCGAGACTCCATTTCTCCATTTCTAAATATATATATACATTAGCTGGTGTGCTGGCACACGCCTATAGTCCCGGCTACTTGGGAGGCTGAGGTAGGAGGATCTCTTGAGCCCAGGAGGTTGAGGCTGCAGTGAGCTAGGATTGTGCTGGTGCACTCCAGCCTAGTGACAGGGCAAGACCCCGTCTCAAAACAACAAACAGACAAACACAAATCTACCCCTGAGCTGTAACCACCTTGATGGAAGATGGAGCCCTGCAGAAGCCCCTGCCACCTCCCCAGGGAACCCCTTTCTCTTTGCCAGTCCCCTCTGAGGCTGGCCATGGCACAGGCTCAGCTGAGGGAGACAGGACTTCAGTCCAGACGAGAGTGACCCAGAGACTATGCAAGCCTCAGTGAGCACAAAAGGTCACCCAAATGCCACGGCGTCCTGAAATAAACGCGCGGCAGAGGCCTGGAGTGTCGCAAGCTGTGGGTGTCTGTGTGAGCCCTGGCACATCCTGCCCCTTGCTAAGCGGTGCCTCCTTGGCCTTGTTTCCCACCATGTGGGGCCCAGGGCTGGGCAGACAAGGCTGGCGGCTGGCGGCTGGCAAAGGCTTCCTGCAGCACAGCCTGGGGCGGCCGGCCAGCGCCACTGCCCCGTCTGCCAGGGGCCGGGGGCTCCTGCAACATGGTGGGCAGGCCACCTCACTGCCTAGGGCTTCCTTGCTGTGAACTAGGGACTGCCCCCACACTGTCCTTGCCCCACTGCTGGGAGGGCCAGGACCGGGTCTGCACCCAAGGGACAGGCTTGGGTGAGTCAGTCCAGCTCAGCTCCTGACCACAGCGGCCCCCACAGCCACCTCTGCAGTACGTGCCTCCCTCTGCCCACGTTCAACGGGCGCAGCCATGTCATGAGCCCCCACTTCCTGACAGGGGCTGGGAGAGGGTCAGATACATCACAAGGGTGGCCTTGCTTAAGTCGAAGGAGCTGGGAGGGAAAGTACAAGAAGGCCTGGCTGGCTTGGCCACGGGGACCAAGAAAAGCTTCTCTGAGCAACAGGGGGTCTTGGGTGCGAGCTGAGGCTGGGATGCACAGTGCGGGCTTCTGACGAGAGAAAGGCGGAGGGAGAGCCACGGAACCCTGGGGGCGGAGGTGGGTCACCTCTTGGGGCACTGGTGGTCACCGGTGGCTGCAGCGAAGTCCACGGGGAGACACAAGTGATGTGGAAGGAAGACCCTCTGCAGCACGGACTGGGGAGAGGCCACAACCAGGCCTGTCAGGTGGCCGCAGCAGCCTGGAAGAGGACAGCCGCATGGCCCGGCAGGGCCAGGGAGGGCACAGCTTCATCCACGCAGCCTGGTTGCCACGCAGCGAGAAGCCAGGCCTGTCACAACCATGTGCGCACTCACAAGGATGCACACGCGGTCATGTACATACGGGCACGTGGTCTCACACGCACACACGGAGTCTGGGACCAGGCACTCGCGCGAATGCCCCATTCTCCCGTCAAGCCCTGGTCCTCTCAGCTGCGTTCCCAGCCCAGGCTCAGGCCATGCAGGTTTCTCTGCACCAAGTGCCTGTTGGGGTGGGCAAGGTCTGGGGTCCAGCCTAGGCTTTTGCTGCTGCTAGAGCCGTCATACCAGGCTCTGGTGCCCCGTGGGGCCCCTGGGCTGGCTGACACTGCTTTCCTGCTCACACACGGGTGGGGGCAGGGCACTCACCAATGAAGGACAGGGCCTTGGTGTTGATGATGCCGCTGGGCAGCAGGTGGAAGTCGTACTCCTTCCCGTCCACTACCACCGTGTGGCCCGCGTTGTTGCCCCCCTGGAACAGAAAACTGGCTGAGCTGAAGGCACTCGAGTGCTGAGCAGCCCCGGACGTGGACTGGCCCACAGGGGGCTTCCGCTGTCCCCACAGGGCAGTGCTGTTGGACTTGGGGCGTCTGGTTTGGTGGCCAGCTCTACTGTGTCTGCACAGGGCGGGGATGGGAACGTCCTGCACCTTGGAAGGAGTGCGGCGGCTCCATCAGGTGCCTGGGTCGGGGAGGGTCTGGCCCAGGCTGGTGCCGACAGCTCCAGGTGGCTTGGTGCACACCTCGCTCTGGAGCTCACTCTCACGCAGGGATGAGGGGCCCGACCCAGCGGCAGAGCACGAATTCACCCCCACAGCCCAGCCTGCCCTCACCCGCTTTAGCAGGGACCCCTCCCTTTGGGCAGGCACCTCCCATCTAAGAAGGCAAAAAGCCATTCTGAGCCAGCCCTGTTCTGGGGAACACCCAGCCACAGGCTTCCCTCTCGGGGGGCTCCTGCTGATGGCAGCCAGAGGGCCTGGGACTGGGAGGTGCAGGTTCCAACCCCCCACCTGCCGCAAGACTGTCACGTGACACAAGCAAACTGGGCCACCGCCCTGGACGCCACTGCCTTCGGTTCCCAAAGAGCTTCTTGTGCCAGTGGAAGCTGGAGGATAAAGTGGGGCCCTTCTAGGTGGGGCGACAAAGCCCTCCTGCCTTTTTCTTTTAAAATATAGATTTTATTGCACTTTACGTTCTGTTCTCCTGCCTTTTGCTTGGGTCTGCTCAGCAGGACCCAGGTCCAGCGGGTGTCCCGTCACCCCCACTCCCTGCTCCTGCAGGGCAGGTGGTGTGACGGATGCAGGGACACCCCAGCCTCAAGGCACAGCTGGCAGGGCTCCCCCACGTGCAGGCAGGAGGCCTCCGCTGCACAGCTGAGGAAGAGGCAGCATCTGCTGGCCCATTGCCCCTGAAGCCAAGCCCCCACCAATGGCAATGGGTGTCCCTCCAGCACCTTTGGGTTTTCATGCCACCATGAGAGACCTGCGTGAGCTAGGTGTGGCAGAGCCTGGAGGGAGCCCCAGAAGGTCTCTGGTCCAGGAGAGAAGGCCAGGTCTCCAGCCCTACCTCCGGCCAGCCACTGGATGGCACGGGGGACCCTCCTTGCTGCCCCCTCTCCTTGAGCTCCACCTGGAGGGGGAGCAGGGTCCCGGTGGGGTGGGGGGACATGCACTGATACCCTGCCCCACAGGCTGGTCTGGCCTTTCCTTCACTACTGCCCTTTTGGGGCCCACTCTGTCCCCAGAACCCCAGAACTCGGATCCAGCCCCACATTCCTGCCTTGCCTCCCGGCAGAAAAGCCCTCAGCAGAGGGGTCTCAGCTCCCCTTCCACCTTCAAAGGCCTGGCAGTGGGGTGTCCCACATAGCCTTTCTCTGCTGCTCAGGCAGGACTCAGTGATGGCGGTCCCCTCCCTCTGCACCAGTTCCTCACGATGCATCTGGACGAGATTTACATGGAAGAGCCCTGGCAGCTGGTGGCAGGGCAAACCTGGGGACACAGGGAGGGCAGATCCAGAGATGCCAGGCAGGGGGCTGGCCCTCCTGGGACCTAACTTCACACATCAGCAGATTAAGCAGCACTTGGAGGGAGCCCTAACGCCCCTTCGCAGAGCGGGAGTCCCCACCTCCACGCCCCGACTTCTGCCTGGGCCTGCCCAGCTGGGCCCAGTCCTTGCAGGAAACCAGTTCAGGACTGTGGTTTTGGGTGGGGCTGTGCTGGGTGAACTGGGTGGGGATCCTGGCGGGTGAAGCAATACAGGAAGCCTGGTGGCAGGCGGGAGGGTGGTCTGGGGGAGCTAATGCTGCCAGGCAGTGCAGCAGGGAGGAGGAGGACAGTCAGGGCCCTTCTGCAGCCGGGGCGGACGGGTGGGGCTCAGCCTGTGCTGCTCAGCAGACCCTGAGTCAGCCCTGGGTATGCGGCTTCAGTCCATCAGGACAGGGCAGGCCCTGGTGTGACTTGCACAGGCTCTGGGTTTGGGGGTCATTGAGCTCTCCTGGCTCCACCCTTACTCTGTCCTTGCCTCAGGACACGGGTGGTAATTCCCCTCCATTGGGGTCACAGAGCATGTTCACGCCCACGATTGCGTCTGCTGCCTTTTGGGGGCAGCCCGGGATGACGTCTCTGAGGACAGGTAGGGAAACTGAGAGAAGGGAAGCCTCTCCCTTGTACACCGCTCCCCCTACTCCCCAGGGTGGGCAGGCCGTGAGGGGTGACCTGGCAGCAGGCTCAGGGCCCATGTCAGCAGGCTCAGGGACACCCCACTGGGCACACTCTGGCTCTGTTGGGGGCAAACACAGGCTCCTAGGAACAGGTGCAGCCCGTTCCAGTGACCAGTTCCTGTGTCTAGTGACCCCGGGGCCAGTGCCAGGCCACTCCCAGGAGCAGGCCAGCCCAGGACACTAAGCCCGGGACCTAGTGGCCTGCTAGGGGCTCCCAGTTCTGGGGAGCCCAGGACGATGGCCCCAGAGAGACCCTAGTCTGTCTTCCTCATCGCCAGTGAGGTCTCAGGATGTCAGGCTGCACAGACGTGGTGAGGTTGGGGACAAGAAGTATTCCTGCCCTTCCTCCAGCTTCAGCTGGGACTCCCACGGCAAAGGCACCAAAGGAGGGCTGGGCAAAGGGGACAATGGGAAGCTGGCAGTCAGGCTGGGGCTCTGCACAAAGGCAGGGCCTTCACGTCCAGGCCAGGGTCTGCCTTGCCACGGGAGCTACCAGCCAGGGCTGACCATGGGGCTGGCCACTGAGGAGGCACCAAACATTGGGGCCAGGCCCGCCCTCCCTGGAGAGGCTCCGGGGCCTTCCCTTGGGGCTGCCACTGGCTGTAGGTGGGTGCCAGGCCCCTCAGCAGGGGGAGCAGGGCAGTCCGGAGGCTGCCGCCCTCTCGCACGGCTTCCTGCCCTTGCACAGATGCACAGCTGCTCCAGCCTCCCTTCTCTCCTTCCCTGGCCCCTGCTGGCCCAGTAGATGGGTCCATGGATCCTGCCGCTTCTCCCAGGTGGCCCGGCCCTGAGCCCTGTGTCTGGTCACCGTCCCCGCAGTGCCATGCTGCCGACACTGCCAGGCCTCGCCACACACAGCTTTGTCCTTGCCCTGGCCTCCACACTGCCCAGATGCTGCACGCCCTGCCCCTGCACTGAGCTTGGCCCTTGCGCGTGTCCTGGCCTTGCCCCGAAGCCATTGTCCTGCTCCTGTCCTCCTGTCCCTAAGCCCTTGGGATGCCCCCTGCCATCTACCTGGCTTGGGGACTGTCCACTGGCCTCCTCTGACTTGCCGGGGCCCCCTCCACTCATGGCCTGCTCAGCCGCTGTCCTCTGCTGTGAGAAGTAGAAAGTTCCTTTTTAAAGTTTCCTTTCTTGTTAAAGAATAAGCGTGCTCATAACTCTGTGTGAAGCCCTGTCCTATGTAGCTGTTAGACACGCCGTGCTTACAGGCACCTAGTACGTTCTACGTCCTTGCACTTCAACCACGATGTCTGTGCTGGACGTGCTCACAGGCAGGTCCCAGCTCTCCATGGCTTTCACCTGTTTAGAAAAGTGTTAAGCTGTTAGCCTTCGGGTTTTAGTTTACATGGTGAGGTCTGGCTGCAGCCAACGGAGATCAGACGCAGCAGTGAGGACGACCCCAAATGCGTAACGGATGAATCTGTCTGTTTTCCTTTGTTCATTGTACTCTTGTGGCACGATGGCTAGTAAGAGTACCCCTCCTGCAGTCCAGGAAGTAAAAATTGCATTGCTGAAAGATCCTTTGTCTCTGCTGACTTTTCTTTGTGGCATGGAGCATCTATTTCCATCTGCCCTGCAGTCCACAGGCCCCTTACTGTCATAGATGACTCCTCTGGCCACGGTGTCTGCTTGGCCCAGGCTTCCCAAGGAAGCCCCTTTCTCTCCTGCGATGCAGTCCCTGTCGTCAGCCCTACCTGCAGCAGCACCTGTGAGGAGGCTCACTACCCCCACGCACCAGAGCCCCTCCTCCCGCCAGCGTTAGCCGACTGTGTCTCTGACGCCGCCCTGCCCCGATGCCACTGTGCTCTGCCTGCTTCCCCCGCTGCCCTGGCTGTGCCGGGCCCACACTATACCCATCGGCGCCCATGCAGGCTTGGGGAGGAGGGGATAGTGGAGTGGCCGCTTGCACCTCTCCCACTGGATTGGGAGTGACCAGCTCTCCCACCTCTGTGTCTATTCCCAGCCCTAGACCGGGGCCTGGTGGCCAGAGAGCTCACAGCAGGCAGTGAAGGGAGCAGAGGCCGTGAGGCTCCTGGGCCCGACCTCTCGGCACTGGCACCCAATGGCAGAACGCATCACGACTGTGCCTGGCACAGGGCAACGGGCCCTGGGGCCCAGTGTGCACGCGCCTGTGACAGCCCGCGTGGTGTGGTGGGTTCACCCACATACATTGCTTCACTCCCTTCTGGGCTCTGCGTGCAGGCTCCCACCCCTCACTCATTCTTTCAACCCAAATGAATTGTTCTCTGCCCCTTTGGTAGTGGGGTGAGGCGTGGGGCAGAGCTGAGGTCACTGGTACAAGTCTCCACTGCCTGTGACTGGTGTTCTTGCAATGACACAGGGTTGTATGTCACTGCAGGGACCCTCTGTCCTGGAGTCGCGGTCCAATGACCAGCACATCAGCCGCACAGAGGTGGGGTGAGGGGACGACCTCTTTCTGGAAGCCACCCCAGGCACTTCCTGGCCAAGGCGGCTGCCCCTCTGGCTCCCAGAATGTCTCTGATGCAGCCTGGAGCCTGAGGTAAAGCGTTACCCGAGGCCCCTTGGAGAGGGCGCCCAGAGCCCCAACAGCCACAGCACAGGGGCCCCCAATGTACAGGATGCCAGCTGCCACCTGGCGCTGCCACACCATGGAGGACACCGTGGGAATGCCCCATGATCTCACATCCCTGTGTACATGGTCACAGCCTTCCCCCCGTCTGCCAGCTGGACACGGCTCTGGCTAGAGCTGGAGGGCACGGGAGGCCTGGGAGTGCGCTGTGGAGACCCAGAGAAGGCCCCTCCGCCCGTGTGCTGGGCATGGTCAGACATCAACAGCCCAGGGCCCCGAGGTCTGCACTGCAGCAGGACAGGACTCTAAGCCCCGACCAGGCACGCCGGAGCCTCGCGGTCCTGGGCAGGGAGCCCAGTTATCCAAAGGAAGGAGCTTGGAAATGGAAGGAGGAAGTAGGGGTGAAGGCCAGGCACTGCCCACCTGGGAACAGGGGGCAGGGGAGACCCAGGTGTGCCTGCCCTCAGCTGCCCATCTGAGAAGTAGGAGCTGGACATGCAGGCAGGGCACGCAGGGGAAAGAAACGCGGAGGACACGAGGGAGGAAGTGCAGGCGGAGGTGCCTGGGGACTCCTCGGAAGTGGGATGGGGTGTCCGTGTTCAGAGAGAAGAGACGGAACACAGGAGCCCAGCACAGAGAGGCAGACACTGCGACGTGGCTGCAGAGCAGGGAGGGCAGACCTGGCTCAGAGGGGACTCAGCCTGGAGGGGAGATGGGCCCGGGGGCAGCCAGGGGAGCGGGCAAGGGGGAAGATGGCACAGTGGGGCCAGGGGGCACGGGGCAGCCCAGCAGACCCAGAGCCGCTCTGGAGTGGAGGAAGGCGGCCGAGGTGTGAAAGTGGGGGAGTGGGGGAAGGTGGGGGCTCGGCCTGGGGAAGGGGGGCTGCTCAGGAAGCAGGTCTAGAGGTGGATGCAGGGGGGGACTGTGGAAGGCGAGGACGTCTCAGGGGCCCCCAGGTGCACTCCGACCGCAGGCCCCAAATCGCTGGGATGGGAAAGAATGAGGGGAGCCATGCAGGGCGTGGGGAAGCCCCAGACCTCCTCTGGGCAGGGTAAGCAAAGCTGCGACTCTCGCCAAGTGCCATGGGCCACCGGGGGCTTGAGAGCTGGCTTGAAATGATGGCCCTGCTGGTGCAGGCGTCAGCAGAGGGCAGGGCGAGCCAGAGCCTGGGCGTCCAGAGGCCTGGGCAGCCAGGACAGGAGCACAGCCAACACTCAGGGTAGCTCTAGGCCCAGGCAACCCTTCGGGGACTAAGCAACAGAGCAGGATGGTGGCCAGGGCTGGTGGCTTCAGCCCTCCTGTCAGCCAGCCTGCCTCCCAGCCCTGCTCCCAGCCCTGCTCCCAGCCCACCCTGCATTGTACTTTCCCACTGGGACCGCTCGGCCCGCCCTGTCCTCTGCTCAGCCTCTCAAGTGAGAGGGTGAGGTCTGGCCTCTGTGTGCCTGGAGACCCCATGTCGGGTCCCTTCATCTGGCTTTAGGCATCGACACACCACGTAAGAAAGAGGCGGACTTCCCTGGGGGCATCCGGCCAGTCCTTCACTCTGCCAGCCTCTGATGGCATGGCGTGTTCAGACATGGAGTGCACAAGAGTGGGAGGTGTTGGGAGCCTGGTGGCAGGGGACAGCCCCCATTGCTAAGAGGAGAGATGGGCACTGTGAGGTCGGGGGTCACTGAGCACTTGTAGAGCCTGGGGCTGGGCCCCAAAGAAGACGGCCTGTCCTTGCCTCTGCAGAGCGATGCCCCGCTGAGATTCAGATCGGTTGCGGGTGGGGACAAAGGGCCAGGCCCTGGTCTATCATGGTGGGCATCCAGCACCCGTGAGAGCTCCAGACGTCGCAGTGACTCTCATTTCTCCACGTCCGAGCCTGCTTCCCCTCTGTGAAGGATGATCCTGCCTCACTGGCTTGTGAGGAGGCTGGAGGGGGAGTGGAGCTCCAGGGACAAACCTCTTTTATTCCCACTCACTTGGAGAGCCAAGGGCTCCCTCAGGCTGCCCGGTGGCCCAGTGGGGGCACCTGGCAGCCTGAGTGCGAGATGGGCTCCCCTCTGCAGCTGGGGGCTAGTGGGGTCTGGCCCGCTGTCGGGGGACGGGGCAGGGGACAGCAGGGAGAGCCTGGATCCAGGACCATCTCCACAGCTGGGCGTGGAGCCAGCAGCTCACAGGGAGGGGCCTGGGCCTCACAGGGGCAAAGAGGTCTAAGGAGGGTAGGTCTGAGGAGGGAAGCTGCCCCACGCCGAGGGCACCCTAGAGGGGGAAGAGCGGGAGGGCTCGGGACGCCCCCTGGCGGCCAGGGACCAGGTGGCCGGGCAGAGGCAGTGTGGAGGGAGTTGCGGTGGGGGGTGGGGTGTCTGGGGACCATCTCTAGGACTTGGGGGATCTCTGCAGAGAGGGATGAGCTTGCCTGAGGGATGAGCAAGAGTGGGAGGTCCCCCACGGTTCCAGGAAGAACTTTCCAGGAAGCCACAGTCCCTTCAGGCAGGAGGGGCTCAGATAGCCCTGAGCCACACAGAGTGCTGGGCTGACCCCCTTCTCTGACAGGGAATATGGCAAGCCCCAGCCCTCCTATCTGGAGCTCAGGAAGGAGGCCGAAGAACCCGGAGAAGGGACGCTGCAGGGGCCCTTGCTCCGTTTTTGGCAGCAGCCCCAGGCAGGCTCTGACCCCCAGATGCGTGCTTCCCAAAGTGGGCCCCTGTGTGCCTGGAGCTGTAAGTCAGCCCATGGGCAGCAGGACTTGGCTGCCCTGGCATGGGGCATGCATCCCCAGGGTGGTGGCCTGAGTGCCCAGTGTCCAGCTCAGTCAGAACAGATGAGGGCGCTGAGAGCAGCAGGCAGAGGCCCCGCCCTGGGCCCTGGGGACAAGTGGGTCTGGCCTCCTCGGTGGCCCCACCAGCCACCGGGTCAACCTGGCCAGAAGTCTGTGGCCCTCCCTCTCCCATGTCTGGCTGGGACCGTCCCGAGCACCCCCCCCTCAAGCCCTGCCCCAGTTGCCCCCCAGGACGGCCTGGCCCCCTTCCGCCTCTGCCTCTCTCCGGCTGACTCACTGAGGTCACCCCCACCCAGCAGGCAGCTTTCACCCTTCCACCACCCCCGACCCTGCGGGGAGCCAGCCAAGCCCTGTCCCAGACCCAGACAGGCCCCAGGTGGTCACTGCAGAATGTGGAAGGGGGGTGTCTTGGGGGTCCTCAAACCACCCTGGGGCTGGGTCCTCCGGTCCCCTCATGGAGGGTCCAGCGTCACTCCCAAGGCATGTGACGCCGCCAGAGGATCGGGTGTCCCCAACTCAGCGACTTGTATTTATAGCTGAGCCCTGGCCCGCTGCCGGGGTGGTGGGGGAGGGGTGGGCGGAGGGAGGGCGGTGTGTGTGAGTCGGGGGTTGTGTGGGTGGTGCGTGCGCGTGCGTGGGTGGGTGGGGTGGCCCTGGGAAAGGTGCTCCCGGAGGGAAGGCGTCCAAGCGGGTGAGTGACCGGCGGGGGCATGGGAGGACAGGGGCCGTCTGGGTCCGGGGAGGGGGCTCGCTGGGCGGGTGGGGGAGGGACCCGGCGCCCCAGCCCGCACCTGGCAGCGGCTGATGATGTCGGCGTCCGTGGCCAGCAGGTCCACCACCTTGCCTTTGCCCTCGTCCCCCCACTGCGCGCCCAGCACCACCGTCACGCGGGAGCCGGTCGCCGCCGCCTCCTGCTGCAGCCGCCCCCGCTTGACGCCGCCCGCGCCGGGGGGCCGGTCGTTGGAGGCTCGGGTCCCCGACATGCTGGCTTGGCTCTTCCGCTGCGCTGGCCCGGCCAGGAGCCCGCCGCCGCCGGCGTCCGCGCCATTAAATGGAGCGGGCCCGGGGCAGGGGGCGGGCCGGGGGCGGGCGCAGTGACGTCCTGGTGACCTCCGGCCGCCAGATCTCCGCCCCACGGCCGCTGCCCGGGAAGTCCAGCTGAGCCTGAGCACTTTAGGGGCGAGGGGGCGCACGGATCGACGGCCAGGCAGGCAGAGGGCCTGGGGCGCCCCACGGATCTGCCAACGGAGGCAGCTTCCCGCAAGCCCGTCTGGGCCAGTGCTTGTGAACCGCGACCAAACCCAGGCAGACCCAGAACTTCGGGGTTCCAGCAACTGCGGCGGTGGGCGCCCCTCCAGGGCAGGAATGCGGTCCTGCGTCCCACCTGGAGAGTCCGCGCTCTCGGGGCGCGCACGTGCCCTGCGCGGAACCCCGAGTCCCCTGGGCGCGCGCGCGCCCCCTGCCGGCCGCTAAGAGCCCCACCGCGCGTCCTGGCCGAGGACGAAGTGTCCCCTGCACCTGCCTGCATCTCGGCTAGATGGCAGGGGCCCCGCGTCCTGCCCGGGCGCGCTGTTGCTCGGTCCTGGCTGTCGGGAGCAGGCGGGCTTCAGCATGGAGCTCCAGCCCTCAGCACCCAAGTCTGGGGTAAAGGGACCCATGCTGTCAGCCTCACCTGGCTGGCATGGGAGCAACCCCCAGGGGTGCGCACCAGCGTGGGGCCCAGGTTCCCAAGAGGCCTCACATTACACCTTCCCATCACAGTCCCAGCCTATGGGGGGACTAGGCCCCAGAAGGAGGCGATGGTATACGTGGCTCCCGTGTTCCCTGCTGGTTGACCTGCCCGGCCCACCGTGCCCCACCCCTCCTTAGTGGATGAGGCTTGGAGGAAGCTAGCTCTGGTGGCCAGAAGGGTCCTGGGGCAGGGAGGCAGGGCCCTTGCCTCCCTCCCTGAGGGTTCTCAGTTGCCCAAACAGCCTGGAGTCACCAGGCTCCTTGGGCTTTGGGGCAACCCCAAGGCCAGTGACAGGGAGCCCATGGAGATGGGACACTCCCCATGAGGAAGGGAGGGGAGCTTGGGCCTGTCAGGGCAAAGGTCCCTCACACTGAGTTAGTGATTCAGGTGCCGCCGAGGACACCACTGCCCACCCCTCCCTGCAGCCTCCCCACCCCTCCTCTCTGGGCGCCTGCCTGCCCCAGCCTGGGGGAGAGGGGTTGTTCGCAGCTTGGCCTCCCGCGCCTGCTCTTAAGTCCCCAGACCCCTCTTCTTCCACTGGGCACACTGACACTTCCTCTCCCTCGGCATCGTTGCGGGGAAAAGGCCGTTATGTGGGTTCCAAGCAGTCAGGGGGCCTCGGAGGAAATACAGTCTTCATGCCTGAACTGGACATTCTCCACCTTCCTAGTGCCGTCCTGGGGGTGACAGCCGGTGGGGGTGAGCAGACCACCACCCCCAGCTTGGGAAGGGGCTGGAGCAGGGCTGGAGGGCTCCGAGGTTTGGCAGAACCTGGATCCTGCTGAACAGGGGGTGCACCCGAGGGTGGGTCAGTGGGCCTGGGGGTGTCAAGGAGGGAATTTGGGGCACAGCATTAGCTGTGCAGGTGGGGAAGAGGCGGACTGCAGCAGGACAAACCAAGAGGGTCATGGGAGGTTTGTTTCCAGATGAGAGAAACTGACAGTGTTAAATGCCACCAGGAACCACAGAGTACCATCAGACAAAGGGGTGCTTCCAAGGCCTGGCGGGGGCCACCAGCTCTGAGCCCTTCCTGGGGACACCTGCGGCTCTGGGCTAGCAGATGTCTCATAGAGGCTTGGGAGTCTGGGGGGTCACCACCCCACCAAGGGGACTTGGACTGACCCTGCAGAGGCGAACGGTAGTGACTCACCGACTTCCCCAGGCCCCGACTATAAATAGCCACGGGCCAGGGTTGGGGCAGGGAGTTGGGCCTTTTCTAAAAACAGCCCTACCCAGGCCCAACAGCTGGGGACCCTGCCAGTCACACGGCCCAGCCCAAATTAGAACACCCCCACCCCACAACCCCCACAGTGGGCCTGTCCCCAGGTGGTGGGCGGCACGGGAGCCACGGAGCTTGGGGCTATCCACCTGGCCCCTGCGGTTTCAATGTGTCCCCTTGAGCAAGAACTAGGGTGCATGGGCTTGTCCACCTGTGCTTTCCACTCTTTGGGGGCCACACCTCCCTGTGGGACCATCGAACACGGTGGTCCAGGACACAGACACCCACAGCCGCCTGCACACACACTTGCAGCTACGAAGCCTCACTGTGCAAGGCACACCCAGACCTCTCATCTTTTTGGCTCCTTTGCTGGCTGAAGCCCACTCAACTGACTTCTCATGAAACAGAGGAAAAACCAGGCTCCAAGAGAGGCAGCCCCTCCTCCTATCACAGGGTCCCCAGCCCCACCTCTCCAGGCAGGAGGGGCCATGGCCTCACTTGCTGCAGGTGACCCTGCAGGTGACCTCGCCCAGTACTCCACAGTACAGTGTTTCTGGCAGATCTGTGTGTGTGTGTGGAGGGGTGGGGGTGGGCCGGGGAGGTGTTGAGCTATTTAACTTAAAAACAATAGCACAGACGGGAACGAAAAATGGTGCAGCTGCTTTGGAAAACAGTTTGGCAGTTTCTTAAGAAGTTAAACATAAACTTAGCAGGTCGCCCAAGTGTTCCTCTGCTAGAATCTACCCAGAGAAATGAAAACTCCATCTGCACGAAGACGATGCGGATGTCCACAGCAGCAGGATTCACTAAAGCCCCAAACTGGAAGCAACACAGATGTCCGCAGACGGAAGAGTGGACAAACAGTGCGGTCACGCATGCAACGGAGTGTGCTTCAGCCGTAAAGCGGAACGGGGTTCCGAGGCCGCCCGCAGCGAGGATGGAGCCTGAAAACACGCCGAAGGACCCGGGAGCGTCCGGAGCTCAGGTCACCGGCTGCCAGGGCTGGGGAGGAGCTCGGGGAGAAGGTGGGACTGATGGGTTCCAGAGGACTTCTTGGGGTGACAGAGAGAGTCTAAAAGTGGATCACTACACAACCTTGATCTGCTGGAAAGCAAATGCCATCACAGCACACACTTAACAGTGAGCCTGGCGGCTTGTCCATTACACCCCTGTAGAGCTGCACCCATCTCACCACTGTTGGGTGCTGTTCATTGGGTCTGCCCTGTTCTAGTTGCTTCTCACTGCCTCCTGAGGGCTTGAGGGACAACCCCTAGCCTGGGGTACCCTCAGCAGTGAATGCTCACACGTGATCTGGGGACTCTCAGCGGTGAATGCTCACACGTGATCTGGGGACCCTCAGTGGTGAATGCTCACACGTGATCTGGGGACCCTCAGTGGTGAATGCTCACACATGATCTGGGACCCTCAGCGGTGAATGCTCATACGGGGCCTGTCCAGTGCCCACCATGTCTCTGGGTGCCTGCGTCTGCCGCCCACCCCCACAGCCTCTGAACACCACAGGCGCACACGGGGCTACATCTGCTTTTTATTGGCCATGTGTCTAGCCACCAGCCTCAGGGCACACACCTGGCAAGGGGCAGGCTTGGGTAGGCTGCCCTTGCTGAGTGGGCAGTGATGGGGCGGTGGCTGCTGGGTGTCACCCTGCAGCCCCTCAGGTGGGACCTGTATTGCCCCCAGGGCCCACCCACCCTGGGCAGCGGGCACTGGGAGGGGTTTTCTGTTGAAGTGCAGCCAAGTCTCAGCTGCGGGGCATTGGCCTGGCAGTGGCATCGAAGGCAGATCCCCTTCCCCCAACTTCAGGGGCTGGACATGCTGGGATGGGGCCAGACCCCACAGGAAGGGACCCTGGCCTGCCATGGCACTGCCTGCCAGCCTGCCCCGGCCCAGGGCCCCCAACTCGGCCACCTCTGAGCTTTAAAGATTCACAAAGCATCGCGTTTTGATTAAACCCCACTGGGCTGTAGGGCAGGCAGGGCCGTGGCGGGCACAGGTGGGATGCAGCCCCCACTGGCCCTGGGCAGGCCGCACCGGGTGCATGCGGGTGTGGGCCAGGGTCGCCTTTAGGAAGCAAGCAGGAGGCTGGCGTGTGCAGGCGGTCCAGGAGGGCACCGGGCCTGGTGGGACACCGGTACCTGTCGGGGTCCCAGCCACAACACTCCAGGAAGGCTCCAGGAGGGCCCCGGCTGGGTAAGGCACGGAGTTTGGTTTCCGGGGCCCAGTCCCAGCCCGGCCCCAGAAGAGCCTCTCTCAGCAGAATGACAGCATGTCCAGCGGCCTGGCCAGGGCTCTCTCACTTGGCCTTGGGCCTGGGCCTGAGGCCTATAAGGAGAGAGGAGAAATGACATCATTAGGAGCAGCTCTGCTGGGTATAACACCAGGTGTCCACTTCTGGGTCCTCAGGTCCCTGAACCCTTCATCGCCACTGTCCAGCAGGTTGTGCCATGCATCTCAGGTCCACTTTGACCCCAGGCTTTCTCTGGAGCAGCAGGACTTATGAGTGGAAGGTGCCGGGACAGACTGGCCAGGCTGGGTTTTGGCAAGGCGTGGCACCCTAAGCCTGTCTCCTTTTTGCTGAGATGGGGAGTCTCAGTGGCCCGTCCCTCCATCCCATGTCTCAGACCCAGGCTGCACAATGTCTATGCTCATTAATCCCCACTGCCACCACCTGGAGCCCTCCATCGCCTCCACATTGGGCCCTGGGCCCCACATGAGGACCTCAGCCGTGCTTTCTCCAGTGGGCTGCTGAGGGCGCTCAGCCCTGCCCCCACAGCTCCCGCCACCCAGATGGCCTCACAGGTCTCCTACCCGAGACACCCTCTTCATTTTCTGGTCCAGGGGCCCTCGCTTGGCCCTTGTCTGACTGCCTACCCCCACTGCCACCCCAGTGCCAGAGGGTGTCCCAGCTTCCCAGTGGAACAGGGCAGGTGGGGTTTGGGAACCACTGCTCTAAAGAGACGGAGCAAGAAACCAAAAACTATCCAAAACGATCCCTCAAAGAGGGATTTCAACATCATCCCCCACTCAGGGAACCCGGAGAAATGGCCAAGACCAAGGCCTGGGCAGGGGTGGGCAGTCAGCAAGCCCAGGGTGAGCTGGGAGCAGGGGCTTGTGCCAGAGATAGGAAGCACTCAGGGGCCGTGGGTCAAGGGCCCCCACTGGTCCCATCAAATGCATGGCAGTGACAGTGATGGATTACTGCACGTTCAAAACTCACGAAAGGGCAGGGGAGAGGGGGACACGTGGAGGAGGCTGCAGCGGTTAGTCCATGGGTCACCGCAGGGGCTTACTGAGCACAGACAGCGTGGTGCTCATGTGGTGGGAGGTTCAGAAACCACCCCCGCCCGGGCGCGGGGGCTCACGCCTGTAATCCAAGCACTTTGGAAGCCAAGCCGGGCGGATCACCTGAGGTCGGGAGTTCAAGACCAGCCTGACCAACATGGTGAAACCCCCATCTTATAAAACAATAAAAAAAATAAAAGAAGCCACCCCCCTAGCCGCGGTCAGTACTGCTGCCATGAACGGCCCCACCCAGCCGCAGAGGACATGGCGTCCCTTGGGGTAGAACTCCTGCCCCAGAACTCAACCTGGTCCAACTTGGGGGGAGCAATCAGGCAAACCCAAAGTGAAGGTGTCTTCCAGAATCTCAATGTCATACGAGACAAAAAGGGGCAGGAATGTTCTAGAACAAAAAAGACTGAAGCGATATGACAACCAAACACAGCATGTGATTCTAGATAGTATCTCATTTTCAAAAAACAACAAAGCAACAACTAGAAAATGAATTATTGGGACAACTGGCACATCTGCACTGGGACTGAATCTCAGAAGCGCGTGGCTGTGAAGCGCCGCTGGAGCCCGCCCTGCCCAGTGGCACTAGGGAGGATGCTGTGCTCCCAGGAGGTGACTGTGGGCCAGTTTAGGGGTCCAGTGCCATGATGTTTGTAAGGGACTCTCAAATGGCTCAGCTGGAGGGGGGCAGTGTAGCAAAATGGTCACCATTTTGGTATTTTTGGCAAACGTTTGCAATTTTGGGGAGAAGGTGTTAGTCATTCTGATCTCTGTGCAATTTCCCGCGGTGTTGAAGATTTTCTAAATAAAAAGTTGGGGGCCCGGCACGGTGGTTCACGCCTGTAATCCAGCAGTTTGGGAAGCTGAGGTGGGTGGATCACCTGAGGTCAGGCGTTTACCAGCCTGGCCAACATGAGGAAACCCTGTCGTTACTAAAAATATAAAGAAATTAGCCAGGTGTGGTGGTACACTCCTGTAGTCCCAGCTACTCGGGAGGCTAAGAAACAAGAATCACTTGAACCCAGAAGGTGGAGGTTGCAGTGAGCTGAGGTTGCACCACGGCACTCCAGCCTGGATGATAGAGTGAGACTCTGTCCCTCCCCCCAAAAAAAGACCAGTCGTGGTGGCTCACACCTGTAATCCCAGCACTTTGGGAGGCCAAGGTGGGCGGATCACCTGAGCTTAGGAGTTTGAGACCATCTTGACCAACATGGTAACACAGTCTCTACTAAAAAAAAAAAAAAAAAAAAAAAAAAAAAAAAAAAAATTTAGCTGGGTGTGGTGGCACATGCCTGTAGTCCCAGCTACTGAGGAGGCTGAGGCAGGAGAATCACTTGAACCGCAGAGGTGGAGATTGCAGTGAGCCAAGATCATGCCACTGCAGCCTGGGTGACAGATTGAGATGCTGTCTCAAAAAATAAAAGAAAGCTAGGGAGAAAAGGGCAGAATTCCTTCCTCCTGCCCTCAGCCGCCTTCACGGCAGGGGCTGGGGTGGGTGGACGCCAAGCACGTGCAGCAGGTCCAGGAGGGAACCGGGTGGAGCGTGGAGCGGCACTGGGTGCGTCCACCTGTCACCGAAGCACTGTCACACATGGCTGCCGGCCCCAGGCCCGCATGCTGCCCTGCTCCTTGCACCCAGGGCCAGCAAGTCCAAGTTCCAGCCTCTAAGGGAGATGCCAGCACCTTTCTAAAAAATACATGTGGGTGTTTCACACCAGAGGGCCACACTTGGAAGATGACCCCGGAAGCAAAAGCTGGGACCCAGGGTGCAGGCTGTGCCCCAACAGCGAGGACAAATGTCCAGAGAAGCTTCTCTGGGCTCATGGCTGCTCTGGGCTCTGACGGCACCAGCAGACCTCAGGTGTGCACCTTGAGTCTAGCCCCCGCCCCAGCCCTAGCATATCCGCAGGGCACGGACACTGGGCTCTCTCTGAGCCAGGCTGGAGGTGCTGGAGGCCCCACGACCTGGGCTCACAGAGCTCACAACTGGCCGGGCTGGACCTTCTGGGTCTCTGCTCCGGTTCCTCCTCCCCCCGGCACAGGCCATCTCTCTAGCTGAACGCATCAGCCTCTCCAGCCCTGTGGATGGTGTGGCTGGCTGACCGGCGGGGGCCCTCCCAGAGGACGCGGGGTGCGCTGGGAGTCATCTGCATTCCACAGTCCCACCCATGGCCGCAGGGTAAGGGGACACCCCCGTCCGGCAGGAGGGGTTGCAGGGTCCTTGTCCCTGGTTTGTCTACTCCTGGGACCCTCCCTATCTCCTCACAGACTGCTGGGGACATGCCCCAGGAGGCCCCACCCCACTGACCCACTCAGACTGAATTCCACCGACAGACAGCAGGAAGGCCAAAGGGTTACTGGCACTGCAGTTAGGGCCAGGACACCAGACAGGAGCCACCTCAGCCTGTCCTGCCAGCCAGGAGGTCCCACCCTTGCCCTGGGGCCTCCGGATCCTGCTCGCTGAGGGAGCCGGCTGGCCCTGCCACCCGCCCTCTCGGGGCCCACATGCCCAGAGCCAGCGCTGATGATGCCTCTTGCCCAGGGGAGACACTGGGTGAGCAGGTGACCTGCAGAGAGGGAGGGGACAGAAGGGGGAGCCCACCACCAGCAGCAAGGGAGAGGCGAGGCCACACCAGGCGGTCCGTCGGAGAGAAGCCAGGTTAGTGTCCCAGAGGCGGAGGCGTTTGAGCAGCAAGCTCCGCCCCTGCCCTGCAGCTGCTGTTAGCCCCGGAGCGGAGCGGGCCGGGGACACCTACCTTAGTTGATCACACACAGTCTTTCGGTTTTATTAGCATCAGAATCAGGGGCAACCTCTGCTTTCAAATAAAAGAAATGCACTCAATGGCTTATCTCACAGGAGCAACCCTGGCTTGGAGTGGAGCGGGTTGGGCTGGTGGGGCCGGGCTAGGCATGCCAACACCCTCTGAGGGCGGCACGGTTCTCTGGCTGCTGACACTCATGGCAGCCGCTTGCCCGGGACTGGTGCCCTGTGCCCGGTGTCTGCCCCTACTCCCTAATGGAGGTGGCACAAAGGTGGGTTGGCGAACAGCCGCACGGGTCTCAGCAGCCCTAAAGCTGCCCTCCGGGAAGCGCTGCCACCTCCTTTCACAGGCCGCGCCCAAGCCACCTCTCCTGGGTGCAGCTGGAGCCTGCAGTGCCCAGTGGGGAAGGGGAGGGACCGGCTGGGCGCCAGCGTCCTGGTGTGGGACGGTGCCCGGGGCCCCTCCCTGAGTTACCTTCCTGGCTCCTTGAGGGGCGCTTCTTCCTTCGCTTGCCGGTCCCCTTTGAGGCCCGGCCCCGGGACCTGGGGAGTGTGCTGGGCCCCGAGGAGTCGGTCACCGCATCCTCAGAGAAGGACCTGTCTAGTGATGTGTCCAGCGCGGACTCTGGGGCCGTGTCCTCCTCGTCCTCATCCCTGTCTCCACCCAGGCCTGCCGTCGGGGGTCTGACAGTGTCCTCCCGACCCTGGCTCGTGCTGCCGGCCTCAGCCTGGAGGACGCCCAGCAAGGCGGTGGGATCCTCGGCATCCTGGCTTGAACTTCCAGCCGCCGGGGGCTGGTCACTGGAGAACTTGAGGGGCTTCAGGGCCTGAGCATCTCCCAGAGTCACCGGCCAGGCCCCCTCCAAGGGCTGGGGGCAGTGGGTGTCCTCGGTGGTTAGGTCCTCACTGGCATCCACGTACCAGGAAGAACGCCTCTCCAGGGGCCGGGGACCACCCTCCCCGGACTGCTCCAGGGTGGGCTGAGGGCAGTGGGTCCCGGCGTCCACAAGGTCCCAGGCCCGGGGCTTGTTGGCCACTGCAGCATCAAGGCTGGGCTCAGAGGTGGGGTAGCGCGTGCCATCCACAGGGTCTCCTGCAGGGTCGCCAGTGGCCACTATGGCTGGAGGGACATGGCAGTGAAGGGCAGGCACCCTGCTCCCAAGCCGGCCCAACCGCAGCCTCCTCCATCCTGCTGTCTACCTCAACGCCCTGCAAAGCCTCCTCCCCAGGAAGCTTCCTGTGATGCCTCAGAGCAGGGCCTGGCCTCAGTGTCCCTGGTCTGTCTACACTGTGGCAGGGCAGGGGACAATGGGCCATGCCATCCTCAGCACCCCGAGCCAGCCACCCCAGGAATGGGGCCCTCCCACCAGGGCCTGCAGTCTGCCTTTCCTGCCCCCTCTGAGCCCAGGGGCAACGGTCAGTGGGCCTGACCTCATCGCTCAGGACCAGCACCGGGGCAGGGCCCGTGGTAACGGTGGAGAGCTGGAGGGATCCGAGGGAGGGATGAGGGCTGAGCGGCCGCCTGCCCCCTCAGCTGTCCCCAGTCTTAGGAGCCTCCAGGGTGGCCCGGGGAGAGGAGAGGGCTTTCCAGTGAAGTCAGGAGAGCTTCCTGGAGGAGGGCAGGGACACTGGCAAGGGGACCATAAGGAAGGAGTGGGAGAGGTTCTTACCGGGCTCTGTGGCCCTTAGGGGATCCACGGAGGCTGCCTTGCTGCCCCCCTCGGCGTCCCCGCGGCCCCGGGCCGTCTTCCGCAGCTGGAAGCCTTTCCTGATGTCAGCCAGCAGGGCGTCAATGACGCACACCTCCTCCTGCTTCCTGGGCCCCTTCCTGACTGAGGATCGTGGGACAGTCAGGGAGCGGCACAGGAAACAAGCCCACCTACAGGGTTGGGGGTGGTGGGGGAGGGAGGTTGGGGCACAGACAAGGACCCCAGAGCTGCCCGCTCCCTGCCCCGCCGGTGGCCCGGCCTCACCAGGCTTCCCGTCCTCTCCCAGCGGCCGCCGCGCCTCCTCCTCCGCCAGCTGCCGCTTCCTCCTCTCTGCCTTGGCTGCCTGCTCCTTCCGGTCCTTGTTCTCCTGCACCGGCAGATGTGACCCCGTCACCCCAGCAAGGCATCCCCCAGGGGCTCCGTGGGCCTGCGTGTCCCCCTCCCTGAGCTGTGGCAGGGCAGGGCCCACGTGGCCGTGTCCACCTGACGAAGTGTGACTCTGCCCATCCTGCTGGAGGAAGGCCGGGGGCCTCGGGACCCCGCTCTAGCCAGACAGGCTGTGCCGTGCGGGGCTGCCCCCACCTTCAGGGCGCGGAGGAAGAGTTCCCGGAAGGCCTTCATGGTGCTGAACGTGTCCTCCAGAGACAGCTGCTGGACGTCCTCGCACAGGTAGTCAGCCAGCTCCCGCTGCTTCTGCTCGATGGCCTCAAACAGCTCGTCCAGTGCCCGGAAGGCCGAGATGCTGGCCTGGGAGCAAGGGCATGTGACAGCCTCGTGAGAGCCCTGCGGGCACCAGCTGGGCAAGGCCCTGAGCTGCGGGAGGGTGGCGGCCGCAGGGACAGGCCCTGAGGACAGTGGTCTCAGACAAGGAGCAGGGGCGCGTACCCTGACTGCGCACACCTGGGATCCACCCTGGAGCCAGACTGCACGGCTGCTCACCTGCCCCGCTCTTTCTTTTTATTTTTTTTTTTTGAGACGGAGTTTCGCTCTTGTTACCCAGGCTGGAGTACAATGGCGCGATCTCGGCTCACCGCAACCTCCGCCTCCTGGGCTCAGGCAATTCTCCTGCCTCAGCCTCCTGAGTAGCTGGGATTACAGGCACGCGCCACCATGCCCAGCTAGTTTTTTGTATTTTTAGTAGAGACGGGGTTTCACCGTGTTGACCAGGATGGTCTTGATATCTCGACCTCGTGATCCACCCGCCTCGGCCTCCCAAAGTGCTGGGATTACAGGCTTGAGCCACCGCGCCCGGCTGCCCTGCTCTTTCTATGAGGGCTACGGCTCCTGCCAGCCCCAGCCCCAGCCCAGGTGCCCGCTTGCCTGGAGGCGCTGGGTGTACTGCTCCTGGACCTCGGCCACCGAGGCAGACACCTTCCGCTCCGTCTCCAGAAGCTTCTTCAGGTTGGAGCTGGCCTCTGAGTGGATGATCTCCAGGTTGATCCTGAAAGGTGAGAAGGGCCGGGCAGGGCAGACAGCAACAGCTGATGTCCAGCCTCGCTGGGACAGGGGAGCCCCTCCCCTGCATGACCCCCATGCCCCACTGTGCACACTGCAGGCTGCACTCTGAGCCCCTCCCCCTCCCATGCCGTGCCACCTGCAGCTCTCTGAGCATCTGGGAGGGGACCCGAATGGTCGGCCTCTCCCGCTTGCCTGGCTCTCCCCAAGGCTGGGCAGCTCCTGAGCCAGAGAACCTTCCAGGGCAGGTGGGGCCCGGGAAGCACCCTGTGCTGGGGGCCTAGGCTGTGTAGTGGGGGGCCCAGGCTGTGTAGTGGGGGGTTCCAGGCTGTGTAGTGGGGGTTCCAGGCTGTGTAGTGGGGGTCCAGGCTGTGCAGTGGGGGGTCCAGGCTGTGCAGTTGGGGGTCCAGGCTGTGCAGTGGGGGATCCAGGCTGCACAGTGGGGGGCCCAGGCTGTGTAGTGGGGGTCCAGGTTGTGTAGTGGGGGGGTCCAGGCTGTGTGGTGGTGGGGTCCAGGCTGTGTAGTGGGGTATCCAGGCTGTGTAGTGGGGGGACCAGGCTGTGTAGTGGGGTTCCAGGCTGTGTAGTGGCGGTTCCAGGCTGTGTAGTGGGGGTCCAGGCTGTGCAGTGGGGGGGTCCAGGCTGTGTAATGGGGGGATCCAGGATGTGTAGTGGGGGATCCAGGATGTGTAGTGGGGGGCCCAGGCTGCCTTCCTGCCTGTGTTGTGTGATCTGGGAAGTGACATTGCTCTTCTGAGTCTCAGTTTCCTCATCTGTATAGTGAGGGAGGCCTGAGGCCTGAGGCCATGACACGGCTGTCATGAAGGTTCACCTTGTGAATGGGCTGTATTAGACCTACCCCCGGTGTGACCCTGACCCGGCCAGCCCCTGCCTCAGAAGGGGACAGGCCATGGCAGACACGGTCCTGTCCCAAAAGGAAAGCACACTATTGGCCAGGGCTCCTAGGGGTGGTGGGGCTGAGTCGAAGCTGTGAGACCCAGCCCTGGCGGGCAGCTACCTCACTGGCTGGGGATGGAATTTGGGGCCCACGCCTGGCTGACGGGTGGGCTGGCAGGAGTTTCCTGGGCCCTGCTGAGGGGAGTGGGCAGGCAGGAGCTGCCTGGGCCCTGCTGAGGGGGGTGGGCTGGCAGGAGCTGCCTACCCTGCTGCTTGCGAAGGCTGCTCCAGGTCCCGGGGCAGCTCCAGGAGGTCAGGGTGGCTCTTTTCTGCTTCCTGCAAAGGGACATGTCCAGTGAGCTCCACGGTGGCCACACTCTCAGCCTGGGGATGCCCTGCCCCACCCCTTAGCTTTAACCCTTAGCAATTAAAGTCCGAAACCCCCAGCACTCCAGACCCTCACATCTTTCCCTTGGGCCTGGCTATGACTTTGTGACGTTTCTGCTTTTCCTAGGGACTGTCCCCCGAGACCAGGGGCAGGTATCCTGGGGATACAGGGGACCCGTGCTGCAGGAAGGAAGGAGGCGTGCTGGGCGGGGCCATGCGCAGCTCTGACTGAGGCTGCTGGCTGCAGACGGGGTCCTGAGCGGTGGCCATGGGGGTATGACCGCTACACCTCTGCACTGCAGGTCCGGGGCACTGGAAGCCCTGCCATCGTGCCCCCACTGGTGCCCACCACCACGCCTACCTCCAGCACATGGTGCAGCAGCGTCACGCGGTTCTGCTGGGACTTGGTCTCCGTGAGCTTCAGCAACGTGCTTATCTTGAAACCGTCGGCGTCACCGGTGTGGCTGCCCTGTGGGGGGCAGAGAGTGAGTCTTGCCAGCCCCAGGTGGGCTGGGCGGGCTGGGGGGGCTGCCCCTGACTTACATAGTTGAGGAAGTTCCCAATCCTCAGGATCAGCTGGCAGAAGATGGGCAGCCGGCGGCTAGTGAGCAGGCCTGTAGGGGCAGCCAGGGCTGGAGAGGGGCTGTTGGTTCGGAGGCCCTATGCCCTGGTGTGGGGCGTGGTCCTGCTTGCCAGCGCCCCTGCCCTCCCTGGCTCCTCCCCAGGCTCAGCCCAGCACGCGAGGGACACAGGGCAGGGCCCGGGGGCTGCAAACCCTCCGCCGATGGGAGTGGACTCCCGGTGCGCCTGACAGATGCAAGCTGTGCCTCGGTGGGCCGCACCTGCCCCCTCCCTGCCCAAGGGCCGTGGCAGGTCCCCACTGATTCCTCTTTCAGAGATGGTGCCTGTGTGTGTGCATGTGCCTGTACACATGTGTGAGGGTGTGTGTGTGTGTGTGTGTGTGTGTGTGTGTGTGTGTGCAGGGTCGTGTACGTGCGTCTACGTCTTGTGTGCATGTGTGTGACTGTGCTTGTGTGCCTGTGTCTGTGTGTGCACGTGCCTGGGAGTGGCAGTGGACATGCATGTCTGTGCATCCAGCGGGTGTGTCCAAGGTGGTGGCAGCAGGGAGGTTTCGGAGTGTGGTAAAGGTTGGCACCCTCGGGTGCTCTCCACAGCCATTGAGATTCTGGCAGTATCAGGGGCCCCGGCAGCCCCTGCCCCAGGTTCAGAGGCCTGTTCCTCCTGCACACGCCCCCCGCCTGGCCCCACTCACTTTTGCAGGCAGCCAGCACCAGCTGGGCCTTGGGCTGCACCATGTCCAGCATGGCGGCCGCGCCCTCGCACAGCAGCATGCACTCGATTCGCAGCTGGTAGCTGGGGATGGCACAGCCAGGGGTCAGTGGCCCGTACCCCTACCTGCCCCTGCCAGAGGGGCAGTCAGCACAGGGCTCTGGCTTGGACGGTGGGCAAAGGGAGGGGGTTTCCACCATCTGCCCCGTCCAGGAGGTGCCCTACCCAGCCGGCCTAGAGCGGGACCCAGGCCCTGCACAGGCCTCCAGCCTCACTCTTTGAAGGGAAGGGCTGGGGGTGGGGCTCGAGTGACGTTTAAAAGGCCGACAGCTGCCAGGCTGCTCCTAGAGGCCCCTTCCCCTCCCTGGCTGGGCCCTGCTCTCTATCCCTGCTCTCCCATCTGGGGCCTGGGCCCTGGGGTCTGAGGGCAGCCGTGCTCACCAGGGAATGGCCAGAAGGAGGACGTAGAACTGGTCGGCGTTGGCCAGCTTGGCTCGCTCCTCTGTGAGGGCCCGCAGGTTTTCAATCTGCCGGGAGGACGACCCCATGTGGGATCCCCCACGCCAGCTTCCGCCCTCCAGGACTGCCCGCCGGCCTCAGCCCCTCCGCTGCCCACCACAGCCCGCTGTGGCTCGTGGCTCAGGGCAGAGGCGGGGCTGGGGCACTTCCTTCTCGGTCTCCCCACTGGGAGCTCCCGGACGGCCTTGCCCTTGCTTGGCGTGGGGGTCCCCTCACCTCGTGCTTCTCCGGAAGGAGCTTAAGGAGCTGTTTGAGAACCTCCACATCAAACTTTGTGGTGTCCCCGGCCTGGATCATCGCAGCGACCTCCTCATTGGAGCTGGAGCCGGGAGAGGACCGGGCAGGGGTGGGTGAGGGATGAGTCACCCCCACCCAGCGTCCTTGGGACCCCATCCGGCAGGGTCTCCCCTCGCAGCCATGGGGTGGCCAGGGCAGGTGGGACCAGGGCAGGAAGGCACCCAGGCTGACTCCCACTCTCGCTTTCCCTCCACGGGCCCTGCTCAGGCGAGGCAGGAAAGTCAGGTCCAGCCAGCTCCCTCAGGGGCCAGAGACGGACACCCGCAGCAGGAAGGGACTCCGGGGCTGAGGGTCAGGGCCCAGGTCCTCGCCCTGGTTTAGCCACTGCTTATCTGTGGCTTTGTGGGGAGGTCCCAGCGCTCTCTCCCTGGGAGCCTGGGTAGCCCCTAGCTGGGGCGGCGTGCCGCTGTTACCCTCCTGCCTAGGGGATGCAGTGTGCACTTCCCATGGTGGCCTGCAGAGGGCACTGCCGGGCCCACGTCAGGAGGCTCACGTGGCAGCGAGGCTCTGTGGCCAGGGAGGGGGGCCACCTCCCTCACTCACCACTTAAATTGCTTCAGGAAGATGTTGAGGTTCAGGCTCTTCTTGGCATCAAGGAAAGTGATCTGGAAAACCCCCCGCCCAACAGGCTGGTACCAGAGGGTGGCCAGGCAGGCAGCCCTGGTCTGAGTCCCCTCCCCGTCCCCACCTCCTTGGGCTCCTTCCTGGCTGGGGCGGCTGCGGTGGCAGGTTCCTTGGGCTTGGCTGCAGGGAAGGAGAAGAGCCGCTCGATGCTGGAGAAGTCGGGCTCCACGGCCTCGGCGTGGGGACTGCTCAGGGACGCCCACATGGAGTTGTGCTCTGTAGGGCAGGGACACAGCCTGTGAGAATCGGGCAGCCCCGGGGTTGGCGATCCAGCAGGCAGGCCTCCCAGAGGGTCTCAGGATGCCCTGCCTGGGGCCCAGCAGATCCAACATGCAGCAGGTACCCTACCTGAGCACTGGCCCACAGGAGCGTGTGGAGGGGTCCCTCAGAGGTCACCCCCACTCTGCTCCTCCCCCCTCCCCACCTCAACCACAGGCGCTGAGCCCGGAGCAGGGGCCAGGCTGCCCTGGCCATGCACAGGCAGGACACGCAGACAAATTCCACGTGCCACCTGCCCCTCTCCCCAGCAGGGCCCAGCCCTCGTCCTAGGGGAAGCTTCCCTCTGGGGCCTGGGGACCCTCACCACGTGCCACATTGGATGGCAGCTTCTGCCAGTTCAGTTTCTTCATGCGCAGTGTGGGTGGGTTCACCCGCCGATGGCTGGGGACCCAGGCTGAGCCCAAGCTGTGGTCCACCTGGGCCACGATGACCTCCTCGTCTCCCGCCGCTGAGGGGCTGCAGGTGCCGGGCAGTGGTGGAGGTGGGGGTGGGGGAGGGCCCCAGCCCATACCAGGCAGCGGGGGTGGGGGTGGGGGTGGGCATTCCATGCCTGGAAGTGGTGGAGGTGGTGGAGGCCCACAAGCACCTGGCAGGGGTGGTGGTGGAGGGGGTGCTGGGGGGGCCATGGACCCCAGGCCTAGCAGGGGTGGGGGTGGGGGTGGAGGTGGTACTGGGAGGGCCTTAGTCCCCATACTGGGCAGGGGGGGTGGTGGGGGTGGGGGAGGGGGAGGGGGCTCAGCACTGGATCCAGGGAACAGGGGTACAGGTGGGGGCGGGGTAGGCGCCTGCTGCTCCAGGGCTCTCGGCTGCGAAGCTTTCAGGAGGCTCTCGCTCTGGGCATGGTCCACAGGCTGGCAGGTGGGGGCTGCTGCTGGCTGTTGGCCCTCCACGCCAGCCTTGGGGGTTGCAGCATTTTGCGGGGAGCTGCCCCTCTGACTCTGGCCTAAGTTGGCCTGGACGCTCTTATGGGCCTTGACCAGGGGGCTTGGTCGGGGCCGCCCCTTGACGGACAGGAGCCGCTCAACCACTTCCTCCAGGGTGCACTCCTGGGCTGCGGTGGGGGGTGTCCAGGGTTAAGGGAGAAGGGGGCAGGGGAGGGAGGGATGGGGCTTGAGGAGGAGGCAGGAAAAAGCGGCCACCTCCCCTGGGCAGAGGATGGGCTGGGGTCAAGGATAGGTCCCTCTGCCCGTGGTCTAGGACCCCAGTGTCTGCCCACCAGGCTGTGCCTACACCCCTTCCCGCCCCTCACCGTCACTGGCCAAGAGCACGGCCCGGTTCACCAGGCTCTCCAGGGCCTCCCAGAGCAGCTGGCTGGAGCGAAGGCTGGGCTCCAGGTGCAGGAGGCCCTGCAGCACGGATAGGAGCTGCGCAGACACCGGGGAGCAGCTCACCTGGATGGGCGAGCGCGGGGTGTGGGTCGGCAGCCGGCCCCTCTGGGCGGATTGAGGGCCCCCATCACATTCCCACGGACCCCTAGAGATGAGAGCCTCGGCGACTGTGGTATGGGTGACATGGGGGACTGTCCCGTGCATTATGGGATGTTAAACAGAACCCCTGGTCTCCGCCTACTCAATGCCGATAGCTCTTCCTGGCCAGCCGTGGAAACCAAAAATGTCTTCAGACTTGCCAGATGAGAGCTGCCAGGTTCAGAGAACGGGGGGGGGGGGGGGGGGGGGGGCGCCGAGTCTGATGGGAATTCAGCCTCTCAGCCCCTCACTAGGCCCTGAGGCCTCTGAAGTTCGCCTGATGGGGACTGGGCAGCCCTGGTCCCTGGAGGCCCGTACTTCTGGGTCCTTTGGCCCTGGCTTTGCCCCCGGGTCCAGCCCAGCCCCCAGGCTGCCCGCTGCAAGCACCAGCTAGCTTTCCGACCCCTGGCCCCTTGCTCCTTCCTGGAATCTCACCCCAGAGCTGGCACCATGCCCAGGTAATAGCAGGGTCTGACCAGGGCAGGGAGGGCCACTCCAGGCCCAGCCCCTGGACCTCAGGGCCACAGCCTACACCGGGGTGGCAGCCCTCCTCCCTCCAGCCCCCAGCCCACCTTGTGGAACAGGGAGGCAAAGACCTCCTGGTGGCTGCTCATGTCGACCCCACCGGAGACTCGCAGCAGCTCCTCCTCGTCCTCGGCCTTGGCCTCCTCAAAGGCCTCCAGCTGGATCAGCAGGTCGGCGTCCTCCAGGTCTCTGTGTGGGAGGGGCCGGGTGGGCTGAGCCTGCTGCCGCCTCCACCGACAGGCAGACAGGCAGCCCGGCTTGGGGCCGGTGTATCTGCCCCGTGCAGCCCACCTGGGCCTCTGAGCCAGGCCGTGGCCAGTTGTGGCTGACATGTGACCCACATAGCCAGGGATGGTGGCCTAAGAGTGGCAGCTCCCAGGTCAGCACCTCACGCCCTGCCAGGCTGCCCCCAGGTCACCGGGCAGCTGCACGCCCCTGGGAAAGGGTAACGTGCACCAAGGCCTGGGGAAATGGCACATGATGGAAAGGGGCCATGGCCTCGGGGGAGGAAGGTCCTTCTCTGGGTGCTGCACGGCCACAGTCAAGACCACTCCGAGGTGGGTCCACAGGGCTTTGTGGACACAGGAGGGGCGGGGCTCTGGCCTGAGCAGGAGGAAACTGACTGTTCACTGGGCCCAGGGCTTGCCAGTCATCTCAGTCTAGCCAATGAGCAAGTTCTCTGCCGTCAGGGCCAGCCCCCTTCAGCCCGCAGTGGTGGGGCACAGGCACCCACACAGGCAAACTTTGCATGAGGCCATTTCTTTTTTTCCTTCTTTTTTGAGATGGAGTCTTGCCCTGTCACCTACACTGAAGTGCGGTGGTGCGACCTCAGCTCACTACCTCCCAGGTTCCAGTGATTCTCCTGTCTCAGCCTCCTGAGTAGCTGGGATTGCAGGCACACGTCACCATGCCCAGCTAGTTTTGTACTTTTAGTAGAGATGGGGTCTCACCATGTTGGCCAGGCTGGTCTTGAACTCCTCACCTCAAGTGATCTGCCCGCTGGCCTCCCAAAGTGCTGGGATTACAGGTGTGAGCCACTGCGCCTGGCCCCTCCAGCCATGGGCTCCTCCAAGCTGACTTCCCTGCACATTGGGACCCTGACCTGAGTATAGTTCTGACTGAGGCCTGGGATACAGGTTCTCGGCCATGTGGGTTCCCAGCAGGGCTGCAGGATTTAGCAAATGAAACTACAGGGTACCCGTTAAATTTGAATTTCAGACAAACAATGAATAACTTTTAGCATAAGCATATCCCATGCAATATCTGGGATATACTTGCACTAAAACACTTGTGTATCTGAAACTTGAATGCACTGCATGTCCCGTATGGTACCTGGCAACCCTAGTTTCTTTTTTAAAAAACTTTTATTTTTATTTTAGACGCAGGGGCACATGTGTGTGTTTGCCACACGGTGGACTGTAATGCCGAGGACTGGCCTTCTGGGGCAGTGGTCTCCAGCCTTTTTGGCACTAGGGACTGGTTTTGTGGAAGACAAGTTTTCCGCAGACAGGGGTGAGGGGAATGGTTTCGGGATAAAACTGTCCCACCCCGATCATCAGGCATTCGATTCTCAGGAGGAGTGCACTCGGGTGCCTCACGGGCATGCGCAGTAGCAATCGAGCGCCTGTGAGATTCGAACGCTGTGCTGACCTGACAGAGACGGAGCTCAGGCAGGAATGCCCGCCTACCGCTCACTTCCTGCTGCTCGGCCCCGTTCCTAACAGGCCAAGGGCTGGTACCGGTCTGCAGCCCCAGGTGTTGGGGACCCCTGTTCTGAAGGAGCTGACACCAAGCAGTGAACGCTGTGCCCTGCGGGGTTTTTGACTCCCCGGAGCCCGTGCCCGCTGTCTCCATCTTGCGTCTACAGCACCACCGTGTCGTTCCCACTTGCTGGCATTCCATTTTCTGTGTCTCAGTTGGTTCACTTACGGTCACGGCCTCCAGCTCCATCCATGGTGTGCAAAGGATGTGAGCTCATTCTGTCTTTTCTGCGGCCGCTGCAACCCTAGTTTCTGTGGGCAGCTGCTGGGCACAGTGAGCTGGATTCTAGCCTGAGACCTGCCTTCCTGCTGGACCCCTGGGGCTACTTGGAGGGGTGGGGTGGGACCACCTCCCTGCCCTCTGGAGGTGCTGCTTCGGTGAGGTGGCTGGGATCCAAAGGGCAGGTGGGTCTGGCCTTGGGAGCAGTAGGGGCACGGGGCAGCTGGCAGGACTGCCACAGTGGGCACTCACCGTAGACGAGCCAGGACGTCCAGCAGCTGCAGCCCTGGGAAGGAGCAGACAGAGTCAGAGGGTTTGGAGGCCACCCTTCCCTTCCCCGGTTCACTTCTGCCACCCAGAGCACCCGGCCCTGCTCTGCTACACCCACAGGATTCCAGAGACCCTGAGGCTCCAGCGGGGAGACCTGGTGCTGGATACCCAGTGCCGCTTATTCAGGGCTCACGGCCAGAACAGGCCGGCTGGAAACAGGGATCAGGCCCCCATCCCTCTCCACTGCCCGCCAGCCTCGCAGCTGAGAACGGTGCAGGGTTGACCCCCAGGCATTCTGAGGCCTGCATCTACTGAAGGGGCAGGTGGTGGCAGACCCGGGGCATGCCGCATGTGATATGCTGGCCAAGAGGAGGGCAGGCGTGGGCACTCCAGCAGCCTGGGGTGGGTGGTTACCGATAAATTCGTTCCGCAGCTGGGCGCGTGTGCGCAGGTCCTCGGGGCCCAGGATGATGGCGTTGATCACGCTGAGCAGGGTGACCACATAGGGCACGTTGTCGCTGCCCGAAAGCTCGTTCATGACCACGCTGAAGCGGTACTGCTGGCTGCACACCGTCTGTGGGGAGGCCGGGGTCAGGGCACGCCCAGGCCGGCGGCCCCACACGTCCAGGCCCAGGCCCTGCCGCCCACCTTGTAGTGGTCCAGGGCGTCCAGGGTCAGCGCGTGGCCCTCAGGTGAGTAGATGCACAGGGCGGCCAGTAGTTCAAATACCTGCTTCTTCACCATCACGTTGGATGTGTCCAGGGCTGCCAGGGAGGAGCAGGTGGGCTCAGCAGGGCCAGTGCACCCTTTCCCATGCCTGTGCAGCTGGGCTCAGGGCCTGGCAGGCAGATGCCAGGGGGTGCTGGGCAGTTGCCCATGGCCCACAGCAGTGCTGAGCAAAGGGCTGGGGCTCAATGAGCTACTCGCGCCTCGGTGTCCTGGACCACAGGGCCGGACCTGCAGGACAAGCGTGAGGGCAGTGGCCCCGTCCTGTTGCTGGCTCTGGGCCCAGGTGTTCTCCCAGTGCAGCACTAACTGTGTTTACGGCAGAGGAAACCTGGGACACCTCCTCATTCCTATGAACCCTTGCGGTCTGCCCCATCCCTGGAGTTGTGAGAGTTCTGGGGGTGGCTCTCATCTGACCCTGCTGAAAACAATCCACAAAGGACTCCATAGAGGGGCCTGCCAGGCCCAGGCTGGGGAGACAGGCTGACAGTGGCTGGCTCCTGCACCTGCCTCTGCCCGCTGGATCCGGCAGAAACGAGGCACCTCTGAGTTGCTTGCCCACACAGGCACCTGCCACCCCCATGGACCCAGCCCCGCCCATCACTGCCCACCCCAGCTGGTCCCCAAGCATTGGTGGGACCTGGCAGGAGCCGTGAGTGGCACAGCAAGGGTTTCTCTCAAGCGGTCAGGACTGACTTTGGGCACAGCCTGGGGAGACTTCCTGGAGGAGGGGAAGTGAGCTGGGGCTGCCCCTGGGTGCTGGTGTAGGGGACAGGGCGGGGAGGGGGATGCTGTGAAGGCGCTGGGAGTTGCAGGGTGATGCCCTCAGCAGGTGTGGACCAGACCGGAAGGGCTCTGTCTGGGCTGAGGGTAAAGGGCTTGGAGCCAGGCAGGTGTGTGCAGGAGCCCCTCAGGTGGACTCGCATCTCTGACCCAGGTGACTCTGGCCGCCCAGAGCAGAGAAACCAGAGGGTGGGAACCAGCACAGGGCTGGGAGGAAGGGTGGGGCAGAGTGGCAGAACAGAGGCCGGGGACAGGGAGACTGCTGGCACAGCCACTGCGGGGACTGCGGTGACCTGGAGGCCTCAGACTCGGAGTGAATGGTGATGTTTTCCCTGAGCCCAGGAAGCCAGTCCTCCTCCAGGAAGCCCTCCTTGCCTGTCTGGCTGCACTTCCTCCTGGTGGGCCCCCAGGCCTCCTGGGGCCTTTTGGCCCGAGGCCTCACGCCAGGCCCCTAGTGTCTGCCTGGGCGGCCCTCGGCACCGTGGCTCACCCTGGGAGAGCTGACGCACGTAGCCCTGGTTGCTGAGGATGTACTCGATGCCCTGCTGTGAGTTCATGACGGCGCGCACGCAGCTGACGCAGGTGAGCTGCAGCAGGGCATCCGAGATGCGTGCCACTCCGCGGCCCGACAGCCGTGCCAGTGCCTCCAGCAGCAGGTCCAGGCCGCTCTGCTCCAGGAACTGCACCATCCAGCTGCCATCACTGCCCTCCAGGCGCTTGCGCAGGCCCGAGTAGTTGACCACGGAGGGCATCTGCAGCAGCCGGATGCACAGCTCGGGGTCTGCATTCTCCAGGTTGGCCTCCGTGGGGTCTGAGTCCTGCGGCCCCAGCTTCTCCTTCAGCGCCGCCCACTTGCGCTGTGCGCCCTCCTTCAGTGACATCTTGCCGAGCTGCGGGCAGAGGGGCACAGATGAGGGCTGTTCACCGGAGGGAGGCTGGGCCCCTCCTGGCCACCAGTGCAGGTGGGGCCTTCCCTCAGCCTCGGTTTCTCTGTGGCGATCCCCGCTCGCGCGCCGTGCTGAGGGTTATGAGTAGCACTGTGTCCCCCACTACAATATCTCAGGTTTCTCTGTACCCATCCCTGACTGATTTCAGCAACCGAGGTGACAGGCAGGAAGGGCCCTACTGCGCGCATCAAGACCCCGAGGCTCAGAGCTGGGAGGGGAGGAGCTGGCTCAGAAACCTACACCACGTCCAAGGCTGGCACGGCCTCTCCAGACGGACAGGACCGGATGAGCTTGGGGAGGCCTCGGGGGAGCAGGAGGCTCCGCTGGCGGGAACACTACCGGTGGTAATGATGCAACAAACGGCATATCTGAGGCTCCCTTATCTCACCCCAGGCGCTTCCCCGGCCCCGTGGACAACATGGACGGGGAGATTGTCAACCCCGGGCACTGCCTGGGCTGCCACAGCATCAGGAGCATGGCTGGGGAGGAAAGGCGGCTCCTGGGTCTCCCCTGGGCCTCAGTCAGCCCATCTGTGAGTGGGTGGTGGGCTCACACCAACAGGAAGACGGAGACCCTTGGCACACAGGGTTTCACAGTCTTCAGTCACCACAGGTCTGACTCCAGCCCTTGGAATACCCCCATAACAGGCCCAGCCCAGAACAGCCTCAACACATGCCTTTCCCCAAAGGGAACGGCAGGACAGGCGGGCTGCACCTCTACCATCAGCTCCACGCCATCACGTCCCCCCAGCCACTGTCCCCAACCACAGACCCTGGGAACTGGCCTCGAAGGTCAGGGGCATCCCAGGCCCTCCCGCGACCATGTACGGCTCTGATCTTATATTTAGCGTCTGAGAACGGCAGTGTGGAGCCTCAGGGAGGGAGCTCGGGGGCCGGGCCTGGCAGGGACACGCTCTGAGCCTCCACCCTGGCCTAGCACTCTCCACCCTGCCCCTTGGCTTCCCACCACCTGCAAGGCGGGCACTTTATATCCCTGGGACAGGTGGGGAAGTGGAGGCAGCTGGGTCCCTGCCCATACTCCCACACCTGGGCACAGCTGGGCTGTGACTGGAGGTCCCACAGGGCTTTGCTTCAACCTGGCAAGTGCTGCCCAACCTGGTAAGTCAGGAGACCCCAGGCCGAGGGCCATGTGAGGTCACAGGTTCCGAGTGGGGGAAGCACACAAGCACCTGCCTCCCCAGGCGGCTCCGGCCCCAGCCCCACTGCGGTTCTCACCGCTGGAGGCCCTGTTCCTCCTCTCCTGCCTTGGGCGAGTGTCCTGGAGCACCCTCCCTTGAGGTCCCGGGCCCACTCTCCAGCCTGGCCCACGACCAAGCCTGGTGTTTCTGGCAGTCTGCCCCCACTCCCCCCACCGTTCCTCATCCCTCTGCCTGTCCAACGGCCCCGGGGGGCTGCTGGGTTCCTACCAGGAGCAGCCTGGCGGGTGGAAGCCAAAGCTCCGATCTGCGTGTGTTCTGTGTCCCCAGCTCCGGCCCTCACCAGCTGACCCGTGCCCAGTCACTCGGCTTGCCTGTGCCTCAGTTTCCTCCTCCGCACCTCCAGTATCAGGCTCCCGGGAGCACCCTGAGAGGGTGGCCTTGGCTGCCCCCACTCCCTGCAGGGGATCCCAGTCTGGGCGCCGCAGACCGGAGAGCCCGGAGCCCTGACCCACTGTGGTTTTAAGTCACCCTCCCGGGCCCGGCCGTCCACTCACCCAGATGCGCAGGACCTTCCGGCCGCCTCTGCCCACCCACTCCGGGCCCTGCCCCGGGCTGCTCCTCACGCTCCCCTGGCTTCTCATTGCTGCTGACCGCTGAGCTGCCAGAGCCGCCACCCAGGTCCTTCCCTGCCAGAGACAGCCTCAGGTCCTCAGGGCCCCTCCTGACAGCAGTGGGGGCTGCTCACACCAGCACAAAGAGCCAGGCAGCTGGGCCTCTGCACGCATTCCCACCCACCCTGGCTGTGGCTGCCTAAAGAGGCCCCAGAACTGACCCTCCTTCCCTCCCCCGCCTCCACTGGCCAGAGTCCCTGTCCCCTTGGCACAGGCCGAGTGGACGGAGTTATGAACTCTCCCAGGCCCGGCCCCTGGCATCTAGAGTGTCCTCTCCAGCCAAGAGCCCCAGGGGTCCCTCGATGCAAAAAATCATGACCTTTAGAAACAAGCAGTGTGGCAGGCCCCAGGGTGTCCCTGGACGCACAGGGCACTCCCCGATCTGAGTACTGCCCCTCTTGGCCCTGCCCAGTCCTCCTTGCCCTGTGCACACCCCTGCAAGACCCTAGTCAGGAGGAGGCCCCTTGGTCTGTGGGGTGGAGCCTCGGTGGGAGGAAACGCCCTCCCATCCATGCGGGTCCCTGGACTGCTGTTCCCCGGGCACCACGCTCTGCGTCCGTGCTGCCCCAGTCAGCTGTGCCCCATCGGGTGCTGTGTTGGGGCAGTGAGCGTGGCAGGGCCTTGCTGGGCTGAAGTCAACATAGACGGTGGACCCGGAGGCCGAGGCCAGAGCCGCCTTCCTGCTTCTGTGAGGCCCCCAAGGCCGTCCAACCTCATAGGGCCCCCGGTCAGGCCCTGCACTGGGCAATGTTCCAGCTGCTTTCAGCATGGGGCTGAACCTGCACCCAGACATGGCCGGACCATATCCACAGCACTCTGACCCGCAACCTGGCCACTGGCCCTAAATGGCCGGGACCTGGGCAATAACTGACAGCTTCTGTGATGTTTGTCCCATCTCACAGGAGTCCGACTTCCATCCAGCAGCCTCTCTAGGGCATCCCCGAGCCTTCCCTTTGTCTATAAAAAGCTTTCTATGTATAGAGTGAAACATCCATGTGAGAAAACCAGGAGGCTTCCCACTCCCCCGCCCGCCCCAGTCTCTGCTAAATGAGGGTGGCCGTGGCCCACTCCCTGCTCCAGCGGGTTCTGGTCCCACTGGGCGGTGGTGTCCACTTCTGCAAGGGTTCCAAAGGAATCCATGGTGTACTGATCTCAGGGGCTCGGGGCCATGGGGAACACTACCCTGGAAGGTGCGGTGCCAAGCAAGCAGGGCAAGGGCAGGAGACACACGGCTGAGCTGTGTGCCCCCGGGCAGCTCCCCTGCCCCTCCGCTCTCCATCTGTTTAGTGGGCCGGCAGGAATGTGTCCTCAGCACTCCCCAGCCCTGGCTGCAGGGGTGTGGCCACCTCCACAGGCACAGGAATTTGCGTTCTTCCCAATCTGTTTACAGCTGGCAGCAGCTCTGGCTGAGGCAGGGCAGTACCATCCAGGCTCTGCAGGGCCCAGGGCCCATGGCTCAGGCCAGGCCCCATGCCTCGGACAGCAAAAGGGTCAGGGCACCGAGAAGGGGTGTCCCCATCTGCCCCACCCCTGACAGTCCACCGGCAGCAATGGAACTACATGGGGCAGGGCTTCTGCAGACGAAGACCCTGAGGTCTGAGGGGCTCGCTCTACCCACCGTAGTGGGACGTCACCACGGTTCTTCAGTCCTTGCTTTTGTCAACCAGTGGCGTGGGGCTTCCACAGGCTGGGGTCATGCCTCTCCCCTCAGACTCCAGCTCCTGCGGGCAGGGTCCCCCTCTGGGCCTGGGCCTGGCCAGCCTGACATGGTGATGCCAGCACCTCCATCCAAGTGCTTCCACGCTAGGGCAGCTGCACTGACTCTTGGGAAGCCACGGGGCTGCCCCACCTGGCAGTCAACAGTCAAGCTGGACCTGAGTCATGGGGTGGGGACAGGGCCATCGCTGGCCCCCACCACACCTGAGGCCTTGTGCCCAGCCCCTGCAGTGCAGACAGAAAGCAGAGCCAGGGAGTATGGGATCTTCAGGCAGGCCCAGCTCTGAGCTGTGCAGAGTGGCTGCGGGCTCCTGTGTGGGCCCATGGCCCGGAGCGGCACACAGGCCAGGGTGAGGGTAATCAGGCCTGAATCCCAGCACGAGTGTGGGGGTCCTGGGCCCTCAGTCAGCACCAATGGGCCTGGAGGCCCCCCTGTGACATGTTCTGTGTCTGCCTGGGACAACCCCCTGCCCCACGAAGGCCCCATGGTAGGGAAGGGAGAGGTCTGCCTGAGTCCAGGCTCCCCATGAGGAACGGGCCAAGCCCTGAGCCAGGCGGCGCTGGGGAAGCGTACTGCCTTCTGTGCCTGGGACTAAGGGGCTCTGAGGACCCCAAAGCAGTGGTGGGGGCGGGGTAGGGCAGGCAGCTTCAGGCGGCCCTTCTGGCACTGGCAGGGGCCGGTGCTTCTGGGCCCTGAGCCAGCGCTGGTGGTGGGGTGCAGGGAGGGATCTTGTCTTCCACGGGGTGGGCGGGCAGAACAGCGGGAGAGGATTCCGGAACTAGGAGGCAGGGGCTGCCACACTGTATTTTTAGCTCCTCCAAGAGCCCAAATTTTTCCACTCTTTGGCAACCCGTGGATCTCCAGAACCGCACACGTTCCTGGCAGAACCCGGGGTTCCAGGCAGCCCAGGCGCTGCAGGCGGTGGAGGCACCTGGGGCCGAGCCTGTCCTGCCATGACCCCCACTCCGTCCCTCCCACTCAGACTCCGGGCTCCCCTGAGCCTCCCCGCCAGGCCAAGAGCCCCTGAGGGAACTCCACGGACCTGGTGGCTCACAGGGGGCCTCAAGGCAGGTGAGAAAGGGGGTCCGCCCACTGTCACCTGTCCAGAGGCATGGGGCGCACAGGCCTTGGCGAGGGCTGTCCGTGTCCTTGCTGTCCCCTGGCCCGTCTCACACCCCAGGAGCTCTCTGGCCCTCACGCCACCTGCAGTCCCCAAGATCCAGAGAGAGTTTGAGGCTCCTGCCTCAAAGCCCTCCAAGATCTTGCTCTCCCGCTGCTGTGCAAGGACGGCCCCTGAGCCACAGGTGGGCAGAAAGGTGCTCTCAGCGGTGTCACCATCAAAAGACAAAGATGGAAGCAGCCCGCACGGTGACGGAGTTCAACCACAGGGTGCGTG